TCCTCAGAGCACATTGACAATGACAAAGTACATGTCTCCACAACGAGTCAAAAAGGACCGGATGTCAAAATAGTGCCATCCAAGGCCCAAATGTGTGTCACTGACTCATTGTGGAGACATGTACTTTGATGGGTTTCGAGGGTAGCCCTCTTCCTCAGAGCCCATTGACCGTGACAAAGTACATGTCTCCACAATGAGTCAGTGACAGACACATTTAGGCCTTGGATGGCAGTTCTTCGATGTCAGGTCCTTTGACTCGTTGGAGACCTGTACTTTGATGCGTTTTTGAGGGTAACCCTGTTCCTCAGAGCCCATTGACAGTGACACATTTGGGCCTTGGATGGCACTTTGACGTCAGGTCCTTTGACTCGTTGTGGAGACATGTACTTTGATGCGTATCGAGGGTAACCCTCTTCCTCAGAGCCCATTGACTGTGACAGACACATTTGGGCCTTGGATGGCACTTCTTTGACAAAGTACATGTCTCCACAACGAGTCTAAGGACCTGACGTTACTGTGAATTCATATGTGAATTGTCTACACTCGTTTTGTGAGTATAAAACTTTACCTATGTTGTAATAAATTGTTATTTGGGATAATGTGCTCGGCCAGCACGCTCTTGTGTTATTCCTTTCGCAGTTTATGAGATTTTGGCTCTGATGATAATAAGCCATCTTGCACCATTGAGCCAGCGCCATTGAGCCAGCGCCCATGTTGAGTGCCAGGGTTCGAAAGTCTCTGGATTTTATGAGATATGCATTTACATCAAATACTTGTGAGTACAATATACATCGATCAGCCAGAACAATATGACCACCAACCATAACTCGATGAGCCGGGACTTCACTAGATCTCCGACGGTATGCTGTGGTATCTGGCACCAAGTCGTTTGTAGCAGATCCTTTAATTCCTGTAAGTGGCAAGGTGGGGCCTTCATGGATTGGACTTGTTTTTTTCAACACAAGCGACAGACGCTCGTTTGAACTGAAATCCGGAGAATTTGGAGGCCAAGTCAACACCTCAAACTCATTATTGTGTTCCTTAAACCACTCTTAAATTCATCAGACCAGGCCACCTTCTTCCATTGCTTCGTGGTGCAGTTCTGATGCTTCTATGCCTATTGGCTGTGGACATGGGTCAGCATGGACACCCTGACCAGTCTGCAGCTACAAAGCCCCATACTCAACAAACTGCAATGCTCTGTGTGTTCTGACACCTTTCTATCAGAACCAGCATTACTTTTTCAGCAGTTTGATCCAATAGAAGCGCTACTGTGGATCAGACTACACAGACCAGCCTTCTCTTCCCATGTACATCGATAAGCCTTGGTCACCTATGACCCTGTCGCCGGCTCACCAGTTTTCCTTCCTTGGACCACTTTTGGATGTTCCTGACCACTGCAGACCAGAAACATCCCACAAGAGCTGCAGTTTTGGAGTTGCTCTGACCCAGCCATTTACACATTACAATTTGGCCTTTGTCAAAGTCGCTCAAATCTTTACGCTTGCCCATTTTTTTTTTTCTGCTTTCAACACATCAACTTCAGGGACAACATGTTCACTTGCTGCCCAATATATCCCAACCACTATCAGATGCCATTGTAACGAGATAACAAATGTTATCCACTTTACCTGCCAGTGGTCATAATGTTATGGCTGATCGATGTATTTTAAATCAAATATACAGGCGTACCTCGGTTTACGAACTCCTCGGTTAATGTAATTTTCGGTTTACGAATGAAAATCCATTGAAAATAATGGCTCAGTATACAAATTTCTCAATTCGAACAGATTACTTGGTTTTCAATGCATTTACAAATTAGTTTTTAATCATGTCCCTGTACAGTATTTATGCCTTTAAAGTGCACTTTATAAAGAGTTTTGAACAGATAAAAGACTTTTTTTACTTTTTTCTGATCCTCGGAACGGATTAATTGGTTTTCAATGCATTTACAAATTTTTTTCGCAATACGAACGGATTAATTGGTTTTCAATGCATTTACAAATTCATTTTTAACCATGTCCCTATACAGTATTTATGCCTTTAAAGTGCACTTTATAAAGTTTTGAACAGATAAGACTTTTTACTTTTTTTCTGACCTCCGGAACAGATTATTTGGTTTTCAATGCATTTACAATTTTTTTTTTAATCATGTCCCTTTATGCTTTTAAAGTGCACTTTATAAAATGAGTTTTGAACAGATAAGACTTTTTTTTTACTTTTTTCTGACCTCCGGAACGGATTAATTGGTTTTCAATGCATCTCTATGGGAAACCGGTTAACGAATTTTTCGCAATACGAAAAGTCCCACGGAACTAATTAAATTCGTAAACCGAGGTATGCCTGAGGATTCTACAGTATGCTGATGTACTCTATTATTTAGTTGCTCTAAGGATTTCTCAGCTTGGAGGGAGATGCAAGGCTTTGAATCCAACTCAATATTTAGCAAATTTTCTGAAAGATATTTAAAGCAAATTTTGGATTCTATGGATGGTACAATTGGTATCTTTTTTTTTAAATCCGATTGCTGAGATGTTTACTTGTGCTGCAGTGGCGTCCTGAGGCAGGTGCGGGGGGTGCGCACCGCACCGGGTGACACCTACCGCACGGGGTGACGCTGGACCCGCTCCACGAAAAGGTAAGTTGTAAAGCATGCCGACCATCCCCGCAGGATGGATCGGATCTGCGGATTGGGGAGCATAATGGATCGGAGTCCGATCCATTATGCTCAATCCACAGATCCGATTCATTCTGCGGGGATCGTCGAGGGGGTGTCACCAAGTGTTATCGCACCGGGTGACACCAACCCTAGGGACGCCCCTGCTGTGCTGTAACCAACTTTTAAAAAAAATGCACATAAAGGCACCAAAAATCTATTCTTTGATACGTAATGTGGCTTTGATCCTTCTAGAAAATGTTTACAGTCAATTCCCCAACATAGCCCCCTCCCCCTTGGCATATCATAGCCCTCTCGTCTTCTGTAAGTCTATGCTGGCCCAGCTTCTCTGCCCCTCCCCTCCCTCTGTGACAAGGTTAAAGTGCACAGTTGAAGCATTAACAGTGCCCCTGTACGTCAATGGGCTTTACTTCATGCACCTCTTTGTAATGGGTGCAGTTGAAACACATTAAATCATTTGGAGGGGTGTCCAAATACTTTGGCCGTATAATGTAAGTAAATAATTAGAGACTTTTATATTTGTTCTTTCTTTGCCTAAAGAAGGCCTAATTCTGCACACCACAGGTTGTGTCACCATTTCTCTCATTACCTTGTATACGTATCCAGGGGGCATGTTGGGTCTTCGGGGGAGCACTCTCCACGGTACCATTCACGGTGGCGGGGACCGTCTCAACAACAACAGCTGGTAGGGAGCTGGGCGGCTGTGAGAATAAGAAGTACAAAATATAAAGAAACGTTGGTTACATGAAGATATTATCGTGATCCATAACATGAACTGGTCTTTAAAGGACACAACACAAATTCTCTTTCCTACACTCTACATCAGGGGTCTCCAAACTTTTGAAACAAAGGGCCAGTTTAGTGCCCTTCAAACTTTGGGGGGGCAGACTGTGGCCAGTGGGAGTGGAAAATGCCCTGTCATTGGTGGGAGTTTTTTAGTTCCATCTCCGGAGTCAGTGTAAGGAATAGTACCCCATTGTTGGTGTCAATGGTGGGGAATAATGGTCAGTGGAAAGGAGGGTGCCCCACAATTGATGTCATTGGGAGGAATAGTGCCCCGTAATTGGTGTCAATGGGAGTTTTAGTTCCCCATCTCTGGTGTCAGTGCGAGGAATAGTACCCCATTGTTGGTGTCAGTGTGGGGAATAATGCTCCATCATTAGCATCAGTGAAAAGGAAGGTGCCCCATAATTGGTGCCATTGGGAGAACTAGTGCCCTATAATTGGTTAGTGGGAGTTTTAGTTCCCCATCTCTGGTGTCAGAGCAAGGAATAGTACCCCATTGCTGATGGAGCATAATTCCTCCCACGGGGGGGGGGGGGGGGGGGAGGGGTGACACCATCGGGATCAGTGGAAGGGAGGTTGCCCCATAATTGATGCCAATGGGAGGACTAGTGCCCTATAATTGGTTAGTGGGAGTTGTAGTTTCCCATCTCTGGTGTCAGTGGGAGGAATAGTACCCAATTGTTTGTGTCAGTGGAAGGAATAATGCCCCATCACTGGCATCACTGGAAGGAAGGGTGCCCCATCATTGCTGTCAGTTTGAATTTTAGTTCCCCATCTCTGGTGTCAGTGTGAGGAACAGTATCCTATTGTTGGTGTCAGTGGGAGGAATAATGCCCCATCACTGGCATCAGTGGAAGGAAGGGTGCCTCATAATTGGTATCAGTGGTAGGCAAAGAAAACCATTGTTGGTGCCAGTGGGAGAATTGGTGCACCATATTTACAGTATCAGTGGAAGGAATATTGCCTTAAGGGTCAGATAAAGGCAAGCAAAAGACCACATCTAGCCTGTGGACTGCAGTTTGGAGGTCCCTGCTCTACATATTCCCAATATCTTGAGAACCCATCAAGTCTCAGCAGTTTCTAGAGAAGGCATTCCCAAACTTTTATACTCCAGAGGAACCCCTAAAAAATGTTCACGTCTTGGGGGAACACTTACTAAAACCCTTTGAGGGTGAAGGGCAAAATTCCCCATACACTACTGGTCAGTAGGAAGAATGCTCCCTTACAGTGACTGTCAGAATTCACCATTTCAGACAGCTAGAAAGACCACTGAGGTTATGCTGCGGCCTCTGTCAAGTGGTGTTGGACCTGAAACCATCCATCACTTGGGAAGTCAATCAGCCACAGGTCAAGGAACCTCTAGCAACATCTGGAGGAACCCTAGCTGAGGCCGTTCTAGACAGATGCCTCTGTTATAAAAAATTGAGAAATCTATACTGGGGTCCACCACTCAACCAACATTCCTTTAAATTTGATGACCCTCTACAAAGTTCAGAAGAAATGGTCTTACATTTTCATCCTTCTCTGCGGCTTTCACTTCTGCCTCCTTCACCTCCGGTTCTGATGGCTGAAAGTCATAAATTGATAATTAGTCATTCATTTAATAAAAATATCATGCAAAAGTTTTAAGAAAATAAATACAATGAATGGATAAAATCAGGAGGGAAGGACAATTTAGGAAAGTTTGTTCCTTATATTGGTGGCATGTTAGATGTTGGAGATTTCATGGACAGATAAAACACCTTCCTTATGTTCCAGACCTGCTACGTAGAGTCAACATACCCCAAGTTATAGCTGATTTAATAACGAATAAAACTACTGATGTTCTTTCTGAACATATCTGCCAATCATGGCAAGGATCGGAACCTTTGAGGTAACTGTGAATCCTAACGGCAATCCAGTAAAATTCCAGACTCTGTCCGTTAAGGAACATCAGTATTTCAGTGAGGCCAAAACCCTCAAGAGAACATACTGGATCTTCGAAACCAACTTTTTGGCCAAAAAGTTTTCAAGCAAAAGTTTTTTCTATCAACACAACTTTTTCTACTACGAAAATCATACACAAAGTGCACCTTCAGTGGTCCAGATTAAAGAAATGCTTCCAAATATGCCAGGAATGTGGTTGGGAGTGCTTCGTAAGAAATGGTTCTCGCTTGGAAGTTCGTTTGAAATGTTTATTGCAAAAAGATAACAGATATGGCCAACATGTTTCAGGGGAATAGACCACCAGGGCTTGAAAAAGAATAAGTAACAATAAGTGGAAGGCCTCTCCTATGAGGCCTGAGTCTAGGCAGGGTAATGGAGTGTCAGCGTGACCGGCCTGCATTAAGGACAGCCAACTGGTAATAGTTGTGATCAGGGGCGGACTGACAACTCATGGGGCCCCCGGGCAATAGGGGATCATGGGGCCCCTTTGTCCTTGCCAAAACTCAAAAAAAGCCTATGAAAAAGGTACCAGGGGCATCTCATGGGGCCCCCTACTGACCCCGGGCCCTCGGGCAGTGCCCGGGTTTCCAAATGGTCAGTCCGCCTCTGGTTGTGATATTCAACTAGTTCTTATGGAGGGTCAAGGCCGCAGGCTCATCTCAGAGCCAGCCTGCCCAACTGCATATCCTTTCCCTGGCCACTCTGTTCACCTTGGCAGGTGACATACCTGGTACGTCCGGGAATAAGGCAACATGCGAATCACTCCCTTTACTCCCATGTGCTGGTGCTTGGTGATCAGCGACTCAGGCACCAGTGCCATCACAGGAGGATGGAGAGAGTCTTCAGCCCTGTGGAAGCTCCCACTAGAGTTGAATGGAAGTTGCCATGGGGCTTGTTTGACTTTCTCCCACAGATTTAACTAGCAGGGCAAGCAAGTTCGTTCAGCTGTGGGGAATGACTCGAAAACAGGGGCGGGCTGACCATTCAAGCACTTGGCCACTGCCCAAGGGCACAGGGTCTGTAGGGGGCCCCATGAAATGCCCCTGGTACCTTTTATAGGCTTTTTTGGGTGTGCTTTGAGCGTGGGCAAGGACACAGGGGCCCCGTGCTCCCCTATTGCCCGGGGGCCCCATGAGTTGTCAGTCCGCCTCAATTTAGTCACCTGGATCAGATCTATAAAATTTTGTGTTTGCAGGCCCATCAACATCAGCTTTTATTTGTGGTTTTTGATGGATCCAAGCATACTGCAGCACCATGCTACCATTATGGCACCATGTAGTGAAGAGTGGCTGGTATACACAAATGTGTGGGCTGCTCTGTGGTTTTTACTTGAAAAAAAATTTAAGGATCTTGATTTTTTTTTTTTTTTTTAAATTAACAGTCTGATCCTCTAATTAGTGATTTTAGTGGAAGGATTATAGATCCTAAATACAATGGTTCAAAAACAACATCCAGTGTATACGGCCTGTATTAGTGTAATAGGTAAAGTGGAACTTCGCTCTCTCAGTCATCATTGACTATTTGTAATCTTTATACTGCTAGCATTGATAGATAGGAAAGTATATCATGTTCACTATAAACTCCACAACCCCCTTGGGAATCTTGGGATGTATGACATCATTTGCCTAGCAAGAAATCAGGAAGTAACAACCTCCCTAGCGGTCTGTTTATGTCCATATTTCTGTGCTCAAAGCGGTACTTTTTTTGCATGGAAATATGTATTTTTTTTATTGTTGCCTGTAATTTTTAGGAATAACTCACTGAAATCTGTCTGAACAAGAGTCTAGTAAACATCCTGGGGATGATAAAATTTGAAACACAAAATCATAAATTATAATTTAATAAATAATCATAAAAAATAATATAATAATAAATGTAATTCAATAATATAATCAAACCAAAAACACTGAAATGTGAAATAGAGCGCCAAGTTCGCACATCGCTGAGCAAAGTCGCAGAATTGTTTTCAGTGTCTGATGAGGAATTTCCCCCACCAATCATTATCACTCAATTCTGCAAGTGGTTCTGATTTACTATCGCTGTTCTCTAGCCGGTCTAAAACCGCGTCTGACCTAAAGGGACGCTTTTTGGACGCCATGGACGTTTCTCAGTTTCCAGGCAGAAAGAACAGTAAAAATGCAGGCAGGGCGCCGGACAAAGCACTCGGGACAAAATGTATGTGAAATGGTTTGATACAGGAATGTTATACTATGTGATTTTAGTGTATTTAGTGAATGTCACTTTTTCACATTTTTAAATTTCCCGCCAGTTCCGTCCCCCGTACGTCCCGACGTCGCAGGGAACGGAACCCGGAAGACAGATGCCGGCATCGGCCGGAGGACATTGCCGGGGACACTGCAGGGGGGACATCGCGGGAGCGCAGGACAAGGTAAGTGCAGAAGGGATCCCGGAGCAATGCTGCAGTGTATTCCCGAGTGTAGCTCGGGGTCACCGCTTCTAGTACTGAAACTTTACCCCGAGCTACACTCGGGAATACCGCCAGGGGGGTTAAGAAATGGGCCCATTTCTTTAGTTACTTCCCGATTTCTTGCCTAGGCAAATGATGTCATACATCCCAAGAGTCCTCAGGAGGGATTTTCTCAGCCAAGCACACCCTCCTGCATGCATGCATGGTCTAAGGGAAGATGGATTCCAGGAAGTAAATGCTACATGAATCGTATGCTTTTACTCAAGATGGCCTCGGCCAAAAATGCTAGTGGGATGTTTGTTCAAAGTGATTTCTCAGTAAAATAAAGCATGGAGACACGGATGGATGGGGGGGGGGGGGGGGTTGCTTTGAATATTAAAAATTAAATGAAACGGCGTTTTTTTGGTCTGTGGTGCTCAGATAACGCGCAGTTCCGCATTAAGTACAAAAGGCCTTGTAATGAAGTCTGTTTTTTTTTTTTTTATTATCCACTACTATTTTGCTACTACTTGGGCAATCTACAGTACAGCCCAGGGGCGGACTGACAACTCATGGGGCCCCCGGGCAATAGGGGATCATGGGGCCCCTGTGTCCTTGCCCAAAGTCAAAAAAGCCTATGAAAAAGGTACCAGGGGCATCTCATGGGGCCCCCTACTGACCCCGGGCCCTCGGGCAGGGCCCGAGTTTCCAAATGGTCAGTCCGCCCCTGGTACAGCCGCTGGGTCACGCGGCAGAGATCAGCAGAGGGGCAAGTTGCGAAAGGTCACTTGTTGTTTGTGCCCAAGAAGCCAGAAGTCAGCCAGGAATCTACTTACTTGGGCAGCCTCGGCGGGCTCACTTGGCCACTCCACGGCAAAAGTGGAGTCAGCGGCGATATCGCTGGAGCCCTGGTCCATGCCGCCAGGAACAGACGACTCCGGCTGGCAGCCAGGGAGACAAAAAGGAGGAATATGGCAGAAGGGAAAGTGATGGGTATGACCGGGGGGAGGGGGGTAAGAAGAGACAAGATACCATGAAAAAAAAAAAAAGATGAAGACAGTACAGCACAGCATGCGCCTGAGCACAGATCCTGGAGAAAAACACATACTTATTTCTAAAATCTTTTTTTTTTTTTTTTTTTTTTTTTTTTTTTTTTTTTTAACACAAGTTAGCAGTTATTTGGCAAAAGGAATAAAATAGTCCAGTGACCTAAAGGTGCAAAAAAAAAATAATTTTAGGGGGGTGCAGATCATATTGAATATGGCCAAAATTGTAGCATTTTAAATATATGTCAATATATTCGGGAAGAATATTTTTAAAATATATTTAAAATATTTTTTTTTTATTTTTATTTATTTCAGGTACTTATATAGCGCCGTCAGTTTACGCACCGCTTTACATATATATTGTACATTCACATCAGTCCCTAACCCTCAAGGGGTGTACAATCTAAGGTCCCTAACTCACATTCATACATACACATACTAGGGCCAATTTAGACAGGAGCCAATTCACCTACCAGCATGTCTTTGGAGTGTGGGAGGAAACCGGAGAACCCGGAGGAAACCAACGCTGGCACAGGGAGGACATGCAAACTCCAGGCAGGTGGTGCCGTGGTTGGGATTTGAACCAACGACCCGAGTACTGCCAGGCTGAAGTGCTAACCATTTAGCCACTGTGCTGATGAAATATATTTTTCTTCCATATGGGTCACGGCATCCTTGCATTCTAACGGCGGGACCCCTTATCTGGATACACTGATCGGCACTGCAGCCCATTGGCTGCTTGCGCCGATAGAGGAGAAATTTTCCAACAAGCTCGTTCAATAAAAGTCGTTTGATGGATTGACTTCTTATGAACGGGAATGGCCATATATGGACCGACATTCAGGCTGAATTCCTGCATTGCCTGCTGAAGACTACCCTACCCACCGAGTGTCAGCACTGCTGCACCATTTCACTGCAGAGCAAACAGCATTGTCAACCTGTTAAAGAGTAACTCTACTTTTGTTGAGAAACAAACCTTCCCCTCTGGGTGATCCATGGACATTGCAGGGATTTTAATAAACCTTTTTGCAGATTCCTACCTTTCGTTATTCCGAAGAAATAGTGGTTTGTGCAGAGTGAATGTGTATGAGAGTGACTTTCTAATCATCAATCAGCTGCTGCACCTGTAGGGCTCTAATGAGTAAAATGGCAGGGTCTGCATCCCTTCACACAAGATTTCCCTTTGGGGGGGGGGGGGGGATATCTCACCAAAAATGACATTTTTGTTGCAGGGGATGCCCAAAATCTGATTTGCAGCTTAGCGCAGACTTCCGGGAAAATCAGTGAGCCAATCACACAAAAAATTACATTTCTGGTGGGGCATTCTGTACACCACCTATGTATAGAACACCTCAAGGTTGCCATATTGCATTTGACAGAATTTACAGAGCTGCCAACTCAATACAAAAGAGGTACATTTTTAATATCAATTGTAGTATGACTTAAGTCGTAATGGCATATGATTTTTTTTATTTGCCATTTTTAGTTTTTGCACAAAAGTGGGAGGTACCCTTTAAGGGGACGTGACAAAATAACAGATTTACTGGCATTATCAACAAGTAAAAGCTATGTTACAGGGGGCTGTGTATATGTAATTTTTGGGATTTTGGCCAAAGTTGCGTCTTAAAACAAAAATTTATTTCCCTACAGGTCCACCTGCCACTAGAAAATACAATTTTTGCTGTTCTTACCTACAATTCTCTAAGATAAAACTTGTAAATAAATAATGACTTATGATCTCTTCCTCATATCTTCTGTTAAATAATTTTTTTTTTTTTTTCAATTCTTTTTTTTGATTTTCAATGTCTTTTGGATCCTATTATGCCTTTCACATCCAGGGTGAGCCATCGAGTCCCATATAATATATATATATATATATATATATATATATGTGTATGTATGATTAAATATTTTGAATTGTATATATTAAAAAGTTATTTGGTAATTGTAGAATTTTGATATACCTTTAGACTGCCTCGTCGGTTGAAATCTTTTAAAAAATCTCCCCTGAAGAAGCCCGTGAGGACGAAACATGTAGGGAGTAAACTACAATGATATCAAGTTTGAATCTCAGTTCCACTCTTAGTACTGAAATTGTTTTTATGTTTCTGTATTTTTTCCTTTTTTGTTTTTTTTTTTTAAAATACGAAATAAAAATATCACTTTTTAATATGTTTGGTATTCATGTTCATGCACCCTGAAAGTCCCATGTTCTCGATTGAATATTTGCAATTTTAAAAGGGATGTGGTGCAATAATTATATCTGGTTGCTCGCCACTTTACTGTTACTTCTTGCAAATAAATAATTTATAGCTGCCGTTGAATAGAGGATTGTGTTCCATAGGAACTGCCAATGATGACACGAAAGCTGGCCTACTTCATAGATGCAAATGCACTAAGTTTTGTAAAATTCACCAAAAGCACAGCTAAAGTCACTCGTCGTTAAAGACCAGAAAGAATTCCTTGAAAGAGTAGGCAGCATTTTCAAAGTTTTAGCAGCCAAGACCAAATTCATATTCAAGGGCTGTTTTCTATGTAGCTGGGTTGGTAGAATTTTCAACAATCTGATTTGCTAAAAAAAAAAAAAAAAAATCCTACAAAACAATGGCCAAGTCTTTACAGCTCAAGAGGGTCAATAAAATTCATTAGCATCCCTAGTTCTGGTGTTGTCTGCAACCTAACATGGCATCCAGTCTATCACATCCATACAGGTGTGCAGTTAGACAATGCCAACTCAATCATGTTTAATTAGGTCTCGTCTGAGGTCACCCAACACCCTCCATCCCTGGAGGCGTCTTTCTGGGATCTTGGCCAAACCACTGCTAAGATCTGTCTGGCGGAGCACGTTATTTAATGTGGTTGGGTGAAAAGATAATTATGTGAGAGGCATGTTGAGTAAAAGGTTCTGAACCATGCTAATGTAGGGAGTGGTGATGAATCAACTCAATCTAATTACACAGCCCCATGTCAACAGGACAAATCCCTTTGTTAACCTTTTATTTTAGAAGTTCCAATGTTATTCTTTTCATTAGTCAACCAATATCTCATATTTCAATTTTCAAGAGACCTTAGGATCAATTTACTGAGATGGAGGAGTTTCTAAAAGTGAATTATGCAGGAGTTAAAGTTTTAAGAATTTAGATCAGCCTTTCTCAACCTTTTCAACGCAGAGGAACCCTTAAAATAATTTTCTGGTCTTGGGAACCCCTGCTAAAATATCTGCAACTCATGAAACATCAGTATGATATTCAGTGAGAAGAATGCTCCTCACACTTGTTGTCACTGGAAAGAATTCCTCCCTTACTTTCTTATCCAAGAGGAAGAAATTGCTCAAGGAACCCCTAGCAACGTTTGGGGGAACCCTGTTTGAGAATTTATCCAAATTCTTTCAGCATATTTTCCAATTGACTTCTGCTTTTTTCAGTTTAGGAAGAGCTTTGGTTGCCCTGGAAGAATATAATCTGTCCTATTGCCTGCTGGAAGATAAACTGTCCTTGCATCTGTCGAAATTAGTTTGAACCTAAAAAGTATGATAATCAATCATCCTTCCACTTGATGCCTTTATGGACTTGACCAATTTTGGATGACTTTGTTCGAGTACAATGTCAATGAAAATTTGTAGAAAGATTTTAGTGTGTGCCAAAGTGATGTAATGTTGTACGTGATCGTTCAGAACCTCTTACTACCTACTTAAGCCGGCCATAGACTGTTCGAATCTCGGTTGGTTCAGCAGGAACCGGCCGAGATTTGAACTACGTATGAGCAGGCTGACTGTACTCAAGCTGATCTATCAACTTGGGTACAACCAGCCTACCAGATTTTACATGTGATTATTGCTAGCGGCTGTTCAAGCCACCCGCTAGAAGAACACAACAGCTCTCAGGGAGGGATTTCCTCATCAACACAGCCTGTGTTGATGGGGGAATCTAGCAAATTTCTTTCTTGCAACCCATGGTTGCAGGAATGAAATTCACTCAGTCGATGGCCTGCTTTAGAAACATCAGTTTGCACAGTTAGCCAAATACAGAAGAATTCAAAAGGAAAAGCAATGAATTTTGTCCGTTGCAGAAAAAATACAATCTAAAACGTTTAAACCAGCCTTTCTCCCCCCGCAGAACCCCTAAAATTATTTTTCAGGCCTAGGGAAACCTGTAGTAAAACCAATTCATTGGGGATCAATAGGAAAAAATGTCCCCTATATCGGTGTACAGAGGGAAGAATGCTCCTTACATTGGTGGTTAGTAGAAAGAATTAAACCCTTACAGTGGTGGTCAGAGTGCCACCCTTACAGACAGCTAAAAAGATCTCATCTCTGGTCTCGTGCCACTGGCTCTGCCAAGTGACATTGGTTCCAGAACTGTGTGGACATCATCAGATGGGAGGTTAACCAACCCCTAACAACCTTATGCAGTATCCTGGTGTAGCACTACCCCCTAAGGGATCGCTGCATTTTTGGGCTCCTCTATAGCTGCACAGCCAGACAACACACTTTTTTTTTTAACTTCCGTTTAGAGTCAGTAACCAGTCCATGGGCTTGTTTTTGTGGTTTTATTTGGGGTAAATAACTTGGATAGGGTCTAGGGGTATATGGAATGCTCAACTTGACTTGAAACAACAACTCTGAGGACAAACTTCCCATTTTCTGTACAAAAAGGATGGATCCTGAACTTTACTCCCTTTGGAGTCGCATCAGTCTCTTAATGGAGCACTTGGTCCAATCTAAGTTGATCTCTTCAGATCCAAGCTGGAAACTACCCACCCACCTGGCTGCCTTGAAGAGTATCCCAGAGCAAGGGATTCCAGAACAGTCCTTAGCACTGTCCCAGGGGGAACTTGTTGGGCATTGCACCTGGCAGCCCTCTCCCTTGCAGGCCCGGGGGGTGTAGAGGTACTCACCAGTCAATTGTATTCTGCAGTTTTTCATAAGACTGCATGTTCAGGCCTTTTAGCTGTGCTAGTCTTCCATGCTGAACAGGGTGCCCTCTGGACAGGACTTGTGTTACAGTTCTTCTTTCTAAACTTCTCCTTCCTTCCTCCTCAGCTCCAACCTGAAGGCAGAGACCCCCCCTTCCCCGGATTTCCCTCCCAGGCCTCACGATGCTCAACACACTCCATCTTCCACCTGATCACCAGACTTCCCTGCCTGCTAGGCTCTCTCATATTTATGGGCCTGTCTGCCACACCTCCTGCCTGGGATTTGTCATACTCCCATGAATATGCAGATCTCGGTCTCCACCCACTGACTTCTTGAATCTCCTGGAAGACTCCAGAACTAGGGGAAGGTACCAGGCCCTCCAGCCTGACCTAAAGTAACCCAATCAAACATGCTCACTTCACTACTGTGAACCAAACTAACTCTGTAGCACCCCTAGAGGGCTCTACACTAGGATTCCACAGAGTCTCATTGATAATGGCTGGTTTAAACCCTCAATAAAAGGGCATTTTATGATTCATCAAGGTGGATGAAGCATTGGGAGGTTCTTCTGCAACAATGATCTCCCAAAGTGCATTAGATATGGGACCAGTTATCAGAGGTTCTGCAGCCCTGATACTTCAGACCCGTCTTCTCAATTACACTCCGGGAATCTGATCAGATGACATGTGACATTCCCAGATAAATCTGTTACAAAAACACATCAGCGGAATAAAATTCCCATAAGGCCATCAAGAGATGACGAATGCACATTTTGGAGGACAATGAATGGGGAGTCTTAATGCTAAAATCAACAATGTTCTGAGCAGTAAAAACTGCCGCTTAGGAAGTCTGATCAGCGAACACCATTTAATAAACTTGATGGCTCAACATGACTAGATCTGTCCCATTCAATCCTTGTGCCCACCATGGGACAGAAAGTGAAAGGAAATGTCCCCCAAAATGAAATATGGTGGCAAACCTGACTGTAACCCTTCTCCACCCTTACATAAAAGAGGATTAAAGCTAAACTCCGGCTTTCCCTTCAGCCTTGCCCAGCTGTACGGGCTCCTCTCCTGAAATTACTTACTTTGATTTCACTGCACACGGAGCTTCTCAAAATGTGCATTAAAAGTCACATAGAGCCCATCGAATTTCCTGACTGGAGGTAGTCCTGCGTCATCTAGGCCTCATCTCTTTAGCCTCATGTTCCCTAGTCTGCCTGCCTCATTTATTATATTTATTGGACAGGGTTACTGTAACTAATCAAAGTGACCCTAATACAGTGGTTCTCAACCTTCCTAATGCCGCGACCCTTTAATACAGTTCCTCATGTTGTGGTGACCCCCAACCATAAAATTATTTACCCAGTAATTATAATTCATGAAGTGTTGTTTTACCTCCAATACTGTTGCTTTCTACACAGTAGCTGCTTTCTACACAGTAGCTGCTTTCACACAGTAGCTGCTTTCTACACAGTAGCTGCTTTCAACACAGTAGCTGCTCTCAACACAGTAGCTGCTCTCAACACAGTAGCTGCTCTTTACACATCGGAAATATGTGCTTTCCCGATGGTCTTAGGCAACCCCTGTGAAAGGGTCATTCGACCCCCAGGTTGAGAACCATTGCCCTAATATGTCCAGACTTACTTAAACTATGTACACCGTTTTATTCACTGCATTACTGCAAACTTTTGACGTCATCATACTTTGCAGGTTGTAGCAGCTACCATTCCCCCACCTGAGTGGTTATACCCTAGTACCACATCCCAAGCTCTGCTGCTTTCTGTAATCTCTACCAAGCCATCTTTAGAAGTTTTTACATTAGCTATCCTCAGGTTTTAAATGTTACAATGAAATCTTGTTTAAAAATGGCAGAAGGCCGAGCAGGTTGACCTTGGTCAGTGGACTTTACATGGATGCGTGCAAAAGAACTTTCATTTAACATTCAAATAGGTCAATAAAAGTAACCTGTAACATCGTAGGCATGGACACTTCCATTGCTGGCCTCATTTTCTGAAAATACTACTTGCTGTCATGCTGATCCACTGTTTTCAAAACTCTTGGTCAATGATCAAGAACAAGAGATAGAGATCTGACTTTGCAGGCACCATGCTTGCTCCAGGTCAATGTTTGAGATTGCATTGAGGCCAGAAACAGCCAGACAGATGGAATGTTTGAATAAGAACATCTAATGCAGGCCATAGACGGGTGGTTTATAGGCCAAATTTTCGTCCGCAAGACAAATCGGCCGATAAACACGTCGTTAGTGGGGCCAGCCCGTCAGCCGTTTTTTTGCGGATCTCCTCATTTATTTTTATCGGTCATGCTGGCCCGTTTTTTTCGCTTTACTAACCCTTTCCTGCCACCACCACATTTGTTGGAGACTGGGAAACTCCCGTTATCAAATATACACTATAATGACTGAAAAGTCGCCTGTCCAATACGGTCACCGCAGGCCGATTGGGCAGAGGATTAAACAAACACAGTAGCGTCTCTTCAAAGGCAGGAATTTGTGAATTGCAAGTAAGTGCTTAAAAACAGTTTAACACTTTCAGAAGAAAGATTTATTACTAAAAGTGTCAAACAGGTGCAATAAAATATTTACAAAGAGATGTCACGAAAAATATATATATGTATATAAAAGGTACAGCAAAGAGATAATAGAAAGGAAAGTACAGGGTTAAGTTACTTGCTCTTACGCCTTGGTTTGTAAGCAGGTCCACATTGCAGAGCGAAAGGGTCTCCCTAGGTAGTATCTTGATGGTTTTTGGGAGATGTGTTCCAGCACAGCACCAGGCTTGCAGCCTGTCCTTTTTAAAATCCCTCTGCAAGGGGGGGTGGCTCTAGTCTGCCCAATACAATATTTTGGGCAGGAGGTCAGTGGACTCTCAATTAAAACTAACAGCTTCATACTCCATGATATGAAACATAGGTGACAGCTGACCTGAGGAATGTTCAATTAACTGCTGGTCAGTTTTATGAGGTTCTAACTTCTTTCAAGTCCCGGGAGGTCTTATCTGTTTTATGATGGGTGAGAAAGGTTACACTTTGGCACCGGGACTAGGGATGCTTTACCCTGTGGTTGACCCCCCACCATCTGTCGATCAGGCAGGGAGGGGGTAGGGAGTGAATGATCGAGGAATACCTCAAATAAAAAGAAAAGAAAAAGGAAAAGGGGAACTCCACGTCCAACTCTGATGAGCAAGTTTGCTACAGGGTCGACCGATTTTTTGTTTATTGGCCGAAAAGTCTATGGCCTGCCTTAGGATGCTCTTTTATGGTCTGTGCAAAAAAAAAATCTACTTCCTTCTTGGACTAGCTTACGTGATTAAGACAAATGTATGAGAAGAAGCTGCAGGGAAGGAGACGAGATGGAGTCAGAGATGCTACACAGGATGAACAATGGTCACATCCATGGACAATTACTGTTCTGGGCATAATGTGCAGTAATCAGCAACACACAACACAGGTAGGTTAAGCGAGTTAGTTTCCTTACCTCCCACAGATCCCAAGGTAGTGACTAATTGCAGCAAGAATGACAAAAAAAACATACAAACAAACTTAGGTTTACATTACTGACACAATGAAAACCAAAAAAAGCGCAACCCAAATTGTAGAACAAATTTCTTAATTGCAATACACAATCCCAGAACGATCAAATATACAGCGCTCAGCATAAATGAGTACACCCCTTTAAAAAAGTAAGATTTTAATCAATAACTCAATGAACACGAGAACAAATTCCAAAATTTTAACAGAACTGAGTTTACTAGAACGTTTGCTCGGCTCATTACATATTATCAACTTAGATTACCAAATCTTCAGTTTTATTCAAAATTAGTTGATGCAAAAATGAATCCACCCCACAAGAAAAACTCCTCCATCTAGTATTCTGTATGACCTCCATGATTTGTAAGGACAGCACCAAGTCTTCTAGGCATGGAATGAATAAGTTGGTGACATATTGCAACATTCAACTTTTTCAATTCTTCAAGAACGACCTCTTTTAGAGCCTAATGGAATAAATAAAACATTGCAGCGCTAAATGGTAACAAATAAAGAACCGTAAAACTACTAATAAAGTTCAGTAAAGATAACAGTCTGTGATACTATAAAGTGCCAGGTGACTGGTTAAAAACTCGATGGTGGTGCTCTGTGAGAAATGGCAGAAATACGCACTCACCAGATGCGTATTAGTTATACGCATTAAGTATCACATCCAGGGATGTCCACATCAGATATAGGTCTGGTCAAGGTTTAAAGGTAATCCTCCCTCAGAGGTGGTAAACAGCAAATGCCCAGGTAGCAAATTAATCGGGTCCAGGTAACCAAAGGTCCCTTTAAGGGATGAGCAGAAGAGGATCTTTTAGAGCCTGGATGCTGGATGGAGAGCGATGCTCAAGTTGTCTCTTCAGAATTCCCCATAGGTGTTCGGTTGGGTTCAGATCAGGAGACATACTCAGCCACTGAATCACTTCACCCGGTTCTTCAGAAATGCCACGGTGGCCTTAGATGTGTGTTTTGGGTCCAAGGAGTGATGGTAGCATCTTCTCTTTCAATATAGAGCCGTACATCTGTGAATTCATGATACCATCAATGAAATGCAGCTCCCTGACACCAGCAGCATTCATGCAGCCCCACAGAATGACACTGCCACCACCATGTTTCACAGTAGGCACCATACATTTTTCTTTGTACTCCTCACCTTTGTGACGCCGCACAGTTTTTAAGCCATCAGTTCCAAAAAATTTATCTTGGTCTCATCTCTCCAGAGTACAGAGTTGCAGTAGCCGCCTTCTTTTTCAGAATGGGTCCAGGCAAATTCTAGGTGGGCTTTTTCATGCATGGGCTTTAGGAGAGGCTTCCTTTGTGAACGACACCCATGCATGTGATTCCTCTGCAGTGTACGCCATATTGTGTCACGGGAAACAATCACCCCAGTTTGGCTTTCTACTTTTTTAGCTAACTGCACTGAACTTGCATGGCGATTTTCTTCAACCCTTCTCATCAGGAGACGCTCCGGTCGAGGTGTTGGACTGATAAGTAAAGCTTTGCTGATCTTGTAGCCTTCACTTTTGTGTAAAGATATTTTCTCTTTCTCAATTCTTGTGATATTTCTCTTCCATGTGGAGCCATTGCTGACAGCATGAAATGGGAGGGATTTACGTTAAGTAACGCCCTTTTATCATCAACCGTCTGCAGGACACCTGTTTAATGAAGAATTAGACTCACCTGGAGTTGAATTCTTGTTAATAAGGATTTTGCTGTCTAAAATTTAACTTTGCTCCTAATGCAGGCCATAGATGGGGAAAAAAAAAACGGCCGATTTTTCTTTAACAAAAACCTCAAAAACGGTCGTTCAATTGGCCGACGTTACCTGGAACGGTTATCCCCTCTACAGCAGCAAAAAGTGTCCCTGCAGAGAGCTCCGCTATTTCTTTGACATTTCTTTGACATTTATAGCGGCTGCCACATTGTATCTATTTGTATCCATTTCGGATACAGATGTTTTTATTTGGAAACAAATAGATACAATGTTGCAGCCGCTATAAATGTCAAAGAACTGTCAAAGAAATAGCGGAGCTCTCTGCAGGGACACTTTTTGCCAGACTGGAATTCTTCATCCTCCTCTTCATCCTCTTCTTCTTCATCCTCTCTTCTTCTTCTTCTTCATCCTCTTCTTCTTCTTCTTCATCCTCTTCTTCTTCTTCTTCATCCTTCTTCTTCTTCTTCATCCTCTTCTTCTTCTTCATCTTCATCCTCTTCTTCATTCATCCTCTTCTTCATCTTCATCCTCTTCTTCATCTTCATCCTCTTCTTCATCTTCATCTTCTTCTTCATCTTCATCCTCTTCTTCATCTTTTTGTCTTCCTCTTGCAGGTCACGGCTCATGCGCAGATTTTTTTTATCGGTAAAAAGATAGGCCGATTTGGCCATCATTGCCGCAAAAATCGGCCGATCTTTTTCAAACTTTACTGATAAAAAAAATCTGCCAAAATACCGAAAAAACGGCCAACCTATTAACCCACTAACGATCCAAAAATCGGCCGATTTTATTTTCGGCCGAAAAAAATTGGCCAATTTTTGACCCATCTATGGCCTGCATAAGACTTTCATTGGGGTGTATTCAGATTTGCAACATGGTCTTGAATAAATTTGTTAGGAAAAAAATAATTTTTGGTGTGTGCAAACTAGCAAATCTTGTTTGCAATCAATGACTCGCATTTGTGGGAGTATTTTGTAGTACAGAAAATGTTGACTCTGAAAGGAAAGTGAAGGTTTTCCGACAAATCTGTTGGGGTGTACTCTTATGCTGAGCACTGTAGGTCTCTGCAGTAGCGAGTCTCCATATTGGGGTTCTACCTCAGTACAGGTCTGACCTTCAAAAAACTTCCCCCATTCAATAGTTCAATTCAAAGTGTCACTGACGCGTTTCTCCCTTCTATTGAAGACAATTACAAAGCACAATACAGAATGAAATGCGTCAATGGGAGAACTCAAGTGGGTGATGTGACTTCTTTAAATTGTACAACTGAGTGGGGGATATCTAATCAGGTATCCGATTGAATAGGATACCTTAATTGAATGGAATGTCACAATAAAAGGTGGCGAAAGCAAGTGCCCATCACCCCACAATACTGTAAGAGTGACTAGAAGCTAGAAAAAAAAAAAAAAGTCACCCACTGTGACAGGAATCATGCCATGTCTTATGTGGCCCCTTTCATAAAACAATGTCTGTTCCTCCCTGACACCATCAGTAGCCATAGAAAAGGACTTTCAAGGGCTAGTTCACCCCTACCAAAACTCCCCATCTAGATAAGGGTGCCTGTAGATAACAAAAAAACTGTGCAGCTTTGACTAAAGTTGAATTATGTCCTTGCCAGGGGCGGACTGACCATTTGGAAACTCGGGCACTGCCCGAGGGCCCGGGGTCAGTAGGGGGCCCCATGAGATGCCCCTGGTACCTTTTCATAGGCTTTTTTTGAGTTTGGGCAAGGGCACAGGGGCCCCACGATCCTCTATTGCCCAGGGGCCCCATGAGTTGTCAGTCCGTCCCTGGTCCTTGCTATAGCTGTAGGCCAGTTACGTAAATCCTGAAGCCTGGCTGAAAAACCTCAGAAATGGCATCATCCCATCCTGCCTTGTTGCTAGGACATTGCTAAGGCATTCCCAGCTGTTACTGGTGTAGCACTAGTCCTTTTAGGAATCGCTAAAGATTTGGATCCCCCTATAGTCCTGCACAGCCAGGCAACACTCATTTTCCACAGACTTGCATTCCAGACACAGTAAACAGTCCTTGAAACTGTTTTTTTTTGGGATTTTATTAGGGGTAATAAAACTTGGATGGGGTTCAGGGATGCATAGGATGCCCAAGGAACTGTGAATGGAGGACAACTTCCTGGCAACTATATACAAGTCTTTATACATCAACTCTTTTGGGAGAGTTCTCCAGCCTCTTTTGGTGTACCACCTCAAACCCCAGATAAACACTTTTCTTTACCCATCTGTCTAGAGGAATCCCTTGGTAAGGGGATCCAGTACCTGCCACTTTAAGATGAACAGTCCCAAGTAAGGAGCTAATCCAGTTTTCCATCAGTGTTCACTTCCCCTAACTGGTTCATGGGATGTAGGACTACTCAGTCTCAGTGAGCTGGTTTAGGTAGGTGGGTGCCTTTCCTTCGGCTGGGCTGGCTACAAAGTATTCCACCCTCCAGGGAATGGTGAGGCTGAGCGATCCTCCTGTCCACGTCCCAGCCTGCAGGTAGGTCCCTTCCCACTGCCTTCCCCAACTCTTACATCTCTTCCTCTCACTCCATCGTCCACCCAAACTCTCCTGCTACTGAGCAGGCTCAGCCACTCTAAAAGGGCTGTCCTGACCCCATTCCAACCCTTCTGCCTGGGGATTGGCCAGGGTCCCCCAAGGGCACAGACCAGCTCCTCCTCACCCTTACCCACCAAGTTCTAGAGACTTCTCTAAGTCTCTAGATCACGGGGAGGAATCAGAGAGCTGATTTGCAGAGCCTCTTAGCCCTGACCCAAAATTTGACCCCTCCAACTATCACCCAGGCTACTACTCAGCCATCTAACTGGAAAAATAATTCGCTAGCTCCCCCTAGCTAACTAGGAGGGTGCTACACTGGTCATCCCCACCATCACAGGAGCGATCTCTCAAACCCATGCATGTGTGGTCCACTATCTCCTCCGTTACAGCATCGCTGAGCTCAGAGCTACTGCAACAGGGAAGAGAAACCACATATGTGAAGGTCTGAATTGGCTGGGGTGTGTCTAGGCAACATGCTACCAACAAGGCAGGACGGGATGATGCCATCTCTGGGATTTTTTTCAGCCAGGCTTCAGGAAATACATATATGGCCTACATCAATAGGAAGGGCATTATCTAACTTTGGTCAAAGCTGCAAAGTTTACATCTACAGGCTCCCCTTACCTGCATAGCCAGAAATGTGGTAAAAAGGTAACTATCCCATTAATAAGGGAAAAAATGACTTAAAATATCTAAAGCCAAAACATTTTTTCTATCTTTGGGTAGAGCAGGGAAGGGCAAGAAACTCTGCCAGGTTTTATTGTGCTCAAAAACACAAGAGGAGTGCAAGACCAAGTAGTGAAGAGTCCAAGTAGCTTTAAAGGATCATCATATGATCTCCTGAAACAGCCAATGTGTTTCAGGGGCTCAAAACACTCCCGCTTCACCGGGGCTATAAAATAAAAAACAAGAGATATATCTAAAAATTTGATGTTAAAACAATTTCTTTAAAATTCATAGTTTCCATCAATTTAATTAAAAAGGCAAAAACACCAAAAAGGTCAGAATTTCATCAATCCATATAAAACCTAGGGAAAAAAGGAACAGTATAATATACAGTTTACAGTAAATATCAGTCTCATCATGGACCAGTAGTTTTTATATTCAATTATGGACACAGGGACTTTTGACCTTCTGTTTTTTTTTTTTTAATCTTGTTATATAAAATAATGTATACTATGAATTTTGTTATATATTGTTTTGGACATTATACAGTTGCAAGAAAAAGTATGTGAACCCCTTGGGATTACGTGGAGTTTTGCATGAATTGGGTATAAAATGTGCTCTGAACGTCATCTAAGTCACAACAATAGAAGAACACAGTCTGCTGAACATAATACTACACAAACATTAGATGTTGCCATGGTTTAATTGCACATAACATGTAAACATTCACAGTGCAGGGAGGACAGCAATGGCTTCCTCCGGTGTCCTCCCATGTACTCCATTCTTGTTTAATGTTTTCCTTATTGTAGATGTGTCAACAAACATGTTAGCATGTGCCAGAGATTTCTGTAGGTCTTTAGCTGACACTCTGGGATTCTTCTTTACCTCATGCAGCATTCTGCGCTGTGCTCTTGCAGTCATTTTTACAGGACGACCCCGCCTAGGGAGAGTAGCAACAGTGCTAAACTTTCTCCATTTGTAGACAGTCTGTCTTACCGTGGACACATGAACATCAAGGCTTTTGGAGATACTTTTGTAACTCTTTCCAGCTTCATGCAAGTCAACAATTCTTGATCGTAGTTCTTCTGAGAGCTCTTTTCTGCGAGGCATGGTTCACATCAGACAGTGCTTCTTGAAACCAGTAAACCCAAAACAGGTGTGTGTTTTTTAAGGGCAGGACAGCTGTCAGCAACACATCCAATATCATCACACTGACTGGAGTCAAGGTTGGCTCACTCCTGGCTCCAATTAGCTCTGGGAGAAGTCATTAAGCTAGGGCCTCACATGCTTTTTCCTCCCTGCACTGTGAATGTATACATGTTATGTGCAATTAAACCATGGCAACATCTAATCTTTGTGTAGTATTATGTTCAGCAGACTGTGTTCTTCTATTGTTGTGACTTAGATGACGTTCAGAGCACATTTTATACCCAATTCATGCAAAACTCCACGTAATCCCAAGGGGTTCACATACTTTTTCTTGCAACTGTATACAATATGTTTTGTATTCATTTTATAGCCCTGATGAAGGGGGGAGTACACTGAACACCTGAAATGCGTTGAGAATTTTATGCAAATATGATGAATCATTAAAGCTTCTTTCACCATTGAGTCTGGTGCTCCTGCCGTGTTTTTTTTTTTTTTTTTCGGTTTGAGTCACATTCTGAGTCCCCTCCAAAAAGACCCATGGGAAGTTTTACCAGAGCCAGTGTGCTCATGGAAAAATTATGTTTTCTTCACCTTATTGAAGAATAAATCAGGCCATGTGATTTTCTTTCCTGTGGATGGCAGGAAAGAAAAAAAACTGTTCAATTCCCCCATCAACAAAGTCAGTGATGATGGGGGATTCCCTACCATGTAGCCATTATGTTCTCCTGGTGGGGAAAGCAAAGCCGGGAGAACACCGGGATTACTGCTAGCGCCTATAGCTGCTGTCAATCTCATGCTGAAAATACGATGTGCTTTATGTACCAAAATCCTGCAACAATCGAATTGGGTACAATCCGCCTACCCATAGATGGTTCCAATCTTGGCCAGGTACTGCTGATCCATCCAGCCAAGTATCAAACCATCTATGGCCGGCTTACTTAGGTTTTAAAGTCAATACGCATGTTGAAAATGTTTTTTTTTTTTTTTAGGCTTTTATTTCCATCTGTACCCTCGCTGTAAAGATTCACCTTCTCGATTTGTCTTTTTTGTATTGAAAGTGATGGGAAAAACCAGAATTATGAGTTTTCACTAGAACATGGCGAAATCAATCATTAGGAAAGAATTCCCTTCGCTTTAGAGAAATTTCCACTCACATCCTGCTGTGGAACAGGAAATTAAGGTACATATTCTCAATGGGGAACTATAGTTAAAAAAAATAAAATTTTAGGTTCAAAACATATTTGGCTTTAGATATGCTTTAATAAACCTAAAAACTCAAAATTCACACAACGGTCACCCAAGATTTACACATTTTTCTAACTGTGCAAATTCTGGGTGAAAGTTGTATGAAAAATTATAAATAGGCCCCCAAACAACAATTTCCAACATAATTCTCATATATGGAGCTACAAAAATGAGGTTACATGACCTTGATCCTTTAAGTCAACAAATGGGGATCATAGGATGTAAAACCTTTAACCCTGAAAACTAGGGACAGATAAATGCCAGCCCTTGGAAGCAATGAACTAAGACCACCATAAACTATTCAATGATAAGCGGAACATAGTGATTACCCAAAGTATTTCTGATCAGCTTGCTTTATTATCAAATTGCAAATTTTTCCATTCCCACCCCACAATTGTGGAAAAACTCAAACACACCTGAGATGCAGCAGCAGTCGAACTGGAGTCCGGTTTGAGGGGATCAAAATCCAGATCTAGTAGGCTGGGCTCCTGCACTGGGGGCCACGCAGCCTCAAACTTGGCAGCACGGAGAAAAAGGTTAGTGGGAATGTTAGATAGAAAGTTATGGGGGAGGAACATAAGTGCAATGCAAAACCGCTCTAGTCTGTGGTGGACACAGAAGAACTAAGGGGCTATCACCCTCTAGAAAACCCAAGGTTAGGATTTGTAAAAACCAGGAGGAAAAAAAAACAAAACATTCAACAAAAAAGTGGATAGTTGGCCTTGGTGGCCAAAAATCCAGAGTGATCACTATGGAAAGGGTTTCCACTTTTTTGGAGAAGATTTTGCCTATGTTTCCATAAGGCCCATCAAAACTCTGTATACAGTATTACTTCAGCAACACAAATCTGGCAAAACATCTTCTTAATGACTTTGAACTGGGAGCCAAGACAGATCGATGACATTTGTGAGATTTAACAAGTATGTCAAAGTAAAAATGATATATGCAGAACATCTCTGCAGTATGCTTCTACAATACATGTACATTTCCCCATATTTTATCCCTTTAAGGCCCAGCAAGTACAGAAAAATACTTGCAGATCTGCCAGAATGCACTCCGCTTCTAAATTTCCTGTGGAGGAGTGAGTGGTGTCAGCCCTGCCCAATTTCTATTGCTAAACTACTCAACCACTCTCAGATCTCCACAACATAAAATCTAATCATTCTGTAGTCCAAGGTGAGAACCAGAAGGGATCTTTGAGAACACAGGAAGTGTGCAGAGGACAGGACAAGTCAACTTTTTTTTGCACTTAACATATATAACAAACAGCAGCCAATGGAATAGCTAACAGACCAAAGGGAGCAAATAAAGTTTATTTTTGGGGTTTTACGTATACTGTAATATTTGTAAATTTAATAGGGCCAAAGATGGCTACCCAAAGCCAATGCAGGGTTTGCAGAAGATAATTTGTAGCATTTTTTATTAAATCCCACTTTTGTCTGTACTCTATTGAACCTTTGGATTTCATATACAAGACAGTAAAATGTATATCAACGCTGACACAGAGCCACCAGCTATCAAGACATTATATATATATATATCTTTTAATAGCTGGTGGCTATCTCTCGCCAACCTGAGCATTGTCTTACAGTCTGACATAGACCTACTCTTTAATCCCATGTTCTACCCTACTGCTTGCACCATACTAGCAGACCAAGTTTACTCCTTCAATCTTCGGTAGACAGTTTGTATGGTGGATAAAGCATACGAGCACCATGATTTCATGCAAATAAATGGTGGACTGAAATAGGCAAGACTTGCCAGACCTAAGTGTACTCTCCTTCACTACCGCTATGTAGCACTTGGTAGCAAACATAGTGACCTGTCCCTTGGCAATGGTCTTAGGCATGGACCCATTATTAAGTAATCAATATACCTTTACATGCAAGCTTTTCGTTTTGGTTTCCAAGAAATTGTCTAAATCTTTAAAAAAAAGGTGCTTCAAAGCAGATCTAGGTTTAAATGTTAGCTTAAAGCTATAGTAGTTGCTAGGACTGATAAGTAATATCTATGAATCAGGTGAACATTTCATTGAAAGAGATCCCATGATCTGAGCTGGTTTTGGTCACAGCAGTTTCGCTACAAAATGAAAGTATGTCAACACTTACTTTTTTTTTTTTTTTTTAAATCCAATCCAGCAAAAATCCTGTTAAAATACACTATGGCCAAAAGTATGTTCATACCCCTTCAAAAAACTGTGTTCACGTACACAAAGTCATCTCCTTAAAAGACATGGTTTGGTAATTTGGTGTTGAGGAACGCAAGTGGCTTGCGTGGAGCTCTGATTTCAACCCTGCTGAATGCCTTTGGGGTGAATCCTTCAACATCAGTACCTGACCTCATTCCTACTGAATGCCTTCGGGATGATACATCATTATTACCTGACCTCAACCCTACCTGTGGGATACATTTTTCTTCCACATTAGTGATTGACTTCAACCCTACTGAATACCTTTGGAATGAATTGTTCCCAAACCTTTGGAATGAAATTGTTCCTAAACATCAATACTTGACCTCAACCCTACTGAATACCTTTGGAATGAATTGTTCGTAAACATCAATACTTGACCTCAACCCTACTGAATGCCTTTGGGATGAATACTTCAACATCAGAACCTGACTTCAACTCTGAATAGCTTTGGGGTTAATTCTTCTCTAGTAACAGTTCCTGATCTCAACTCTACTGAACATCTTTGGGATGAATTGGAATACCAATTGCTAGCCAGATCTTCTTGTCCAACATCAGTACCCAACCTCACAAAAAAAACACAAATCTTTGGAAAACCTTCACAGAAGAATGGAGAGTATAACTGCAAAGAGGGTATCAACTTCATTGTAATGGCCATGGCCTTGAAATGGGATGTCTAAAACTCATATTAGGTGTGAAGGTCACGTGTTCACAAACTTTGGCCATGTAGTGCAGTTTCAAATTAACATTTGGGTCTATGGGTCCAGTTAAACCTATTAAGTTCACTTTTACATTTTGTGCAACAGTTCTGCATTGAAAGATCTTGACACGTAGTCAAAATTCTTACCTTTCGCTGGTTTAATAGTTGCAGTCAAATACAGTCAGGTAATCCCTAAGTAGACTAATCCATAGATATACATAGTGGCTATCAACAACCGAGTCACCAATATTGCATGCTTCATTGCGCAGATTGAGCAGACCTTACTGCAGAATTATGAGGTTCATTAGTGCAATGCAAGAGCAAAGTACGAGAGACCAATTTAAGCAATCAGAATTCAGTCTCCTATTTTCTGATTGGTGGAGGATGGCTGCATGGTTTTGGTGCCAAAACATGGCACTTTGTACATTGCTCTTCATTGCAAACCACAAAACCAAATTTTGCAATAACTTCTGCTAGATCAGCAGGGGAAGCATTTTGTGTTACATGAATCGACGGCTCTGCTGGACTTGGAGCTGGAGGCAGCTGTCACAAGTACCACCAAGACATCTCCACATCAACAAGTGTAAAAAAAAATAAAACATGCACAGTGAAAGAACAAGCAAGGCACCAGGACCTGCGGCATGCACATGGAATTAGCAAAACACATGCACACGTTAGAGGTTCCTTAGTGGCGTCCAGCGGACACTGGCTTTTTTTTGGAGGGCACAGGGGCTGACTTTATTACTTGTCCTACGCAGAAATTCCTTTTAATACTATAAAGGCTCAGCAGCTTTTGCTGCCTCTCTGAAACATGATTCGCAGTGGATCACTTTACAGAGGTCAGTTGACAGGTGGCTGGGAAACGGTCACCTCCTCGCCGTCTGTTTTAACCCTCAAAAGGCTGCACCACCACACTGCAACTGCATGCATTACATGCCATTGCACTGCAGCAATGGGTCACACTGCCTACCAAACACGAGAGTTAATTTCTTGCCGTGGCCTTGGAGTGTGTACAGCTACGAGCGGCTGCATGTCCTTGTTCAGGGGAGTGGTCAAGGGGTGGTAAAAAACAGCAGGTCAACTGCCTGAACGAACCCCAAGATAAGGATCTTGCGTTGCACTTTTAAACTCACTCCATCTTAAAACGTATTTGGAAGGCTTTATCTCCATCAGGACCAGAGGTCATTAAAAACACTGCTATGAATCTTATCTTACCAATTCCGGCACAGCTAATTTACCTACATAAATGCATTTTCCATTGTTTAAGGACTTCTAAGGCTTTTATTGGACACCTAAACTATTGGTGCCAGTGGCAGCACGGACATGGAACCAGAAGCGTGCACATCTGTGCGCTCCGTGTTTTACGGATGTTGCAGCTGTAATGTTCTCACAGTACAGAGAGCGGTGCCGGAGAACCGTGTTAATCCACAGACTAAGTGGTTAAAAGACAGAAATATAGGTGGCCATTGCTATCCTTCTGTACTTTCTGAATCGGAAACCTGTAAGGCCTTGTTTACACAGCCTTCAACTTGAGAGCACAGTGTACGGCAAGCTTTGTTGACCCTTCAGGTCCATTATGGGGGGGATTAGACTGATGGTTGCTTAAAACAACCTTTCATGGCAAGTGGAAGATCTCTGTAGCAGCCCTCTGACCTCTAATCAAACCATTCATCCTCCTCACACCCACAAAAACTACCTATACCTCAGCCCCATCCTCTGGTGCTTCTGGGAGGCACAGGGGACATCACTGTGCTTTCTGGCAGAGATGGAAGTTCAAGATTCCACAAGAACCCCAACCCAATATTTTAATGGTCAGTACTCCCCCACTAACATCTATTTAGGTGTATGTAGGAGCATAGGTCTATGTGGCCTACAGGGTGCCATCAACTAGCAGGGTAGCCAGAGTCCGCTGGAGTAAACTGGAGAGAAAAAAAAGGGCAAATGTTAGTAAGCTGTTTTTCTTCCACGGAGGTGTCACTTCTTAGAACAAAGAGATTGCCCGATTCTTGTGTTCTGTTGGGAGTTTGTATCCCAATATACAGAGCCAATATCCTGGAGCTTCCTAAAAGGCGAACTAGCATTTTTAGATCCCATCCCTGCCACCGTGACAGCCAGAATCATTTTCAAATGACTGAGACTAAGAAGTCTATGAGACAAAAGAAGTTTAGCTGTCCAGGAAAGGAGATCAAATTCCAATAAACTGGCACTGAGGAGGACCAGGAGAATCCAACATGTTTCGGGGATTGCAAACCCCCCCCCCCCCCCCCCCCCCCACCTTCTTCAGGGCTGAATAAAGACAGAGGAAAGGAATCGGAGCTGAACTGGAGTACAAAAAGACAAGTATTTATATAGAACCAACAATTAATGCAGAAACAATTAACCTGCCAGCAGGTCTTTGGAGTGTTGGAGGAAACCTACACAAACGTAGGGAGAGCATGCAAACTCCATGCAGATAGTGTCCTGACCACAATTCAAACTGGGGACCCCGTGTTGCATGGCAAAGGTGTTAACCACTAAGTGATTGTGCTTATTTTCACATGTGTTCATCAAAATGAGATGTTTGACGAGCTAAAATGCTCATCCTTCGATACTCCAGTCTAGCTCACATTTCATTCCGCTTTCTTTATTCAGCCCTGAAGAAGGGGGAAACCCACTGGATTTTCCTTATATTAGAGGCGCCATTTTTATTAAAAAGTCCGGAATAAAAATTTTATTTTCCACTTTGTCGATACGTTTCTATAAGGATGTCTACAAAGTCCTAGAAAAGGAGTTGCTGGTGAATGGCCAACAAGAACATGGCCATATAGGACATATAGATTAGTCCTTGGAACATCATCATCTCAATATTATGTATCTATGGCTATCTATGTCCTGCTGGGGAGAGTCACCCTTTTATTTATTACAATAAATATTTTGCGCTAGTAAATATATCCGTAAGACAAAAAAACAAAAATATATATATGTGAAATAATAATAAAAAAAAGTAAAAAGTTCAAATAATAAGATCCGCTCCGTGAGGACGTCGATGACAACCCCTTTCTTGAACGCGTAGGGCAGAGCTTGATCGATGTGACGTCATTACGTTTGTCTACGAGCTACTGCGCATGTGCCGAGTAGCTGGGGTTCGTTTTCTGTGATTGCTGTTATGCTGTTGACGCTGGTGTCGGCTGGGACACCTCCTGAGTTAAATGCAATGAGTACCTAATAAAGGAATTTGTTTTTTTAATAATACTGCACCATGAAGTTCTCTTGTTTCTTTCGAGTGCCTGGCATCTTCTTCCTTGGATACGATTAAAAGGTGGCTTTTCTGGAGAAGTGGATTTCCTTGATAATTTGAAAAGTTTTTTTCTATTTTTGATATTGGTCTATGTGGATCGGTGTTCTGCAGAATTTCATTTCCTGAAGATATACCTACGGATGACTTGCCATCATATTATCATTCCCAGAGCAATATTTGTTTTTTTAGCTCTGGTGAGTTTATTTAGTTTTTTGGTGGTGGTTTGTCACATTTAGACATTTTTTTGCACATTTTTTGTGTTATTTATATTTTAAAATTTTGGACTTATTATTTTGAACTTTTTACTTTTTTTATTATTTCACATATATATTTTTTGTTTTTTGTCTTACGGATATATTTACTAGCGCAAAATATTTATTGTAATAATTGTTACACTTTATTTACTTATGGTGATTTTTTGCAGCTGGTACATCACAAGTCATTTATATATAATTTTCAATTTTCCACAGGCGCTATTATATATATTTTCTTCACCCTTTTATTTATCCACTTTGTGAAGAGATATGACAGGGTGTAAAGGAAAATCTCTAGGTAAATGCCAATATTATGAATAGGTTAATTCTGCAAGGACCTTTCTTGAATTTAACTCAAAGCTTTAAATGACCAGAAGCAGCTTGATCTGAATTACAGTTTAAAGTATTGTGGGTTGTCGTCCCTATGGAGTGCCAAGACTAAGGTCACCAAATGAGGGAGAGAGTTCCCTGCCTAACCTAGACCAAGATCCCCAACAGATGGAGAGTGACCTGCCAAATCTAGAATATGATCACCATCAGATGAAGAGTTCCCCACCTAATCTGGAATAAATTCACAAACAGATGGAAAGACCCCCGCAAACCCGAAATAAGATCCCAAAAAGAAGAAGAGCTTCCCAACTAACCTATACAAAGATCCTAAACTGATGGAGAGTTTCCAGCCTAACCTAGAATTAAGATCACCAACAGATGGAGTGATTCCCACCTAACCTAGAACCAAAATACCCCAACAGATGGAGAGTTCTGTGCCTAATCTAGACTAAGATCAAGAGTTCCCCACTTTACCTAGATTATGATGACCAACAGATGGAAAGTTTCCTGCCTATAACCTAGAAATAAGATGCCTAAGAGATGAAGAGTTCCCCACCTAACCTAGAACTAAGATAGCCCAACAGATGGAGAGTTCTACATCCAAGCTAGACTAAGATCAAGATTTCTTCATCTAACCTAGAATGAAGATCTCCAACAGATGAGTTACTCACCTAACCTAAAACTAAGATAGCCCAAGCTAGACTAAGATCACGAATTCCCCACCTAACCTAGAACTAAGATCCCAACAGATGATGAGAGTTCTTTGCCTAACCTAGACGAAGATCAAGGTTATCTAGATTATGATGACCAACAGATGGAAAGTTTTCCTGCCTATAACCTAGAATTAAAATGCCTAAGAGATGAAGAGTTCCCTACCTAACCTAGAACTAAGATAGCCCAACAGATTGAGAGTTCTACGACCAATCTAGACACAGATGAAGAGTTCCCCACCTAACCCAGAACCAAGATCCCCAACAGATGTAGAGTTCCCCACCTAACCTAGAACTAAGACCACAATAGATGAAGAGTTCCACTCCTAACCTAAAACTAAGATCCCAAACAGAAGAAGAGTTCCCCACCTAACCTAGAAAATAAGATCCCCAACAGATGAATAGTTCCCCATCTAACCCAGAACCAAGATCTACATCTGTTGGAGAGTTCCCCACCTAACCTAGAACTAAGATTCCCCAAGAGATGAAGAGTTCCCAGCCTAACTTGGAGTAGGATTACCATCAGATGGAGAGTTCTCCATCTAACCTAGGCTAAGATCTAGAGTTCCCCACCTAAGCTACAACTGACAAGTCCCAATTTGGGCATCTCTGGTCTTCTCCGCAAAGTGACACCTCTTACAGCGCTGGGCATGCATGTGTTAGTGCACTGCAGGCAGGTGGGCAGCAGCCGCTAACCTGTGAGGGAGTGGTCACACTTATTTCGGGCACAAAACTGTCATCAAACAGACCGATGATATTTTCCTGCTTGATGTCCCTGGACGGCGTGAGTTTTGGTGGCGGCGGGACCGGTGGGCCTTTCCTCAGCTACATGCAAGTAAAATACCAGCAAAGACAATCCACACGAACCCCCCACCCAAAAAGAAAAAAAAAAAAAAAAAAACATACAAAAAATTAGCAAAAAACACACAATAGGGAACTTCACGGGTCCATCCCATGGCGGATGTTGCGCGATTTCACTTCCGCATTGGATGAACTTTTTCACAAATGTGTATTAATACAAAAACAGCATATAAACAGGGTGAGCAGCACAGGAACACAAGGATCAAAACTTAAATATTATAAACATTTTCAATATAAAACCAAAAGTACAACACAAGGAAGAATTCATGTAACATCCTGTTTCCATAGATTGGCTCATTAAATATTTCATTTGTTACTACGATGTTATAAAATTCATTAACCCACTGAAAGCAAAAAACCGAAAAGTCCCATCTATGAGCAGAGAGAAGTAACTGCTTTCTGTGTGCCTCTCAGAAACAATGTTACTATGGCCCAACCTACTCGGCTTAGCCTGGGTTCACATATGTGCGGGGCCAGGGGCAGACTGACAACTCATGGGGCCCCGGGCAATTGGGGATCATGGGGCCCCTGTATCCTTGTCCACACTCAAACCACACACCCACAAAAGCCTATGAAAGATACCAGGGGCATCTCATGGGGCCCCCTACTGACCCTGGGCCCTCAGGCAGTGCCCGAGTTCCTGAATGGTCAGTCTGCCCCTGTGCGGGGCTGATTTGCAGCGCAATTTCAAGCCAGGTTCAGTGTGACTTCATTCAGCGATTCAGGTGCAATTTGTTAAAATGTACGACAATGGAAATTGCACCTGAACCGGGCCGAAAATTGTCAAAAAAATGTCAAAAGTCAAAAACAGCCGCTGTAAAAATGTCCCGTGTGGATGAGGACTAAAGACAGGCTCCAATAAACAAACTAAAACCTCTCCTGTCTGCCATTCTGATTTAAAGGGTAACTAGTCACCTTGTGGAATCTCTGCTTTGGCAAGACTAATACGATTTTAAAATAGGGACAGGTTCACTTTAAAACACAGAGTCTTCAGATTCTCAAAGATTTTCTCCCTGGAAGATGGCCTTATGCCCACTTTACAATTTTCTGAATAGCACTGCAAAATATTTATGTGATGTAAAAAGGGATAAAAAAAAATTGTGGCAATGGCACTCCTTTACCAGCTGATGGTGCTGTTGTACTGCCAGAATTACACCGGGGCAAAATTAATGTACCACTTAAAGAAAAAAAAAAAAAAAAACAAAAAAGGAAACCCAAAAAAAACCCAAAAAACCCCAAAAAACATGAACAACAAAACCCAAAAAACATGAAAACCCCCCCCCAAAAAAAACACGAACCACAAAACACAAAAAACAAACAAACACGAAACCCAAAAAACATGAAAAAAAACCCCGGAACCCCAAAAACCCAAAAAAACACAAACCACGAAACACAAAAAACACGAAACAGAAAAAAACCCAAAAAAAAACCGGAACCCCAAAAACCCAAAAAACACGAACCACGAAATCTAAAAAAAAACGAAACACGAAACCCAAAAAACATGTAAAACAAAACCCAAAAAAATAATGAAAAAAAAACCCCAAAAAAACCCGAAACCCAAAAAAAAACAAACCACGAAACACAAAAAACACAAAAAAACCCGAAAAACAAAACCCAAAAAAACATGAAAAAAACCCTCCAAAAAACATGAAACCCCCCAAAAAACATGAAAAAAACCCCAAAAAAAACCCCAAAAAAAAAACACGAACCATGAAACACAAAAACCCGAAACACAAAAAAAAAACACGAAACACAAAAAACAAAAAAAAACACGAAACACAAGAAACAAAAAAACACGAAAAACAAAAAAAAAAAAAACAAAAACACCCCAAAAAACCAATGCCACAACTTCCAAAAAAAGGCCCCACTTTTGTAAAGTTGGGCCTAAAACTGCTAGAAAAAAAAAAAACTATATAGTAACGGACTTCCTAATAAATTCTGCATTATGAACGAGTAAAATAAAAAGATATCCATTTTACTTTAACTACAGAGCTTTGTTCATCTGCGTCGGTTGTATCTGCCTGGAGCTCGGCCATTGAGTAATGCAAAAACTGAACATCTCCCTTCTGAGAATGAGGCTTCATAGAAATGTCACAAGATGGTGCACAACGCGCATGGAGCATAAATAGGTGGCAGAAGGGAGTCACTAGTACAGCGTACAGCCTGCCGCTGTCATGAATGGCTGTACACTGCTATATGGAGGTAGCGCAATGAACTTTGGGTACACCGATGCAATCACAATGGCGGGCAGCCCTGGATGCAAACTATGTCTACGATTGTAATCCCGCACGTATTAATGAGTTTATGCAAGCGCCAGGGTATCGATTGCACCCGGGGGCTGTACGCTGCACCCGTGGCTTCCTTATGACAGCCATTTATGCTCCATGCATGCTGTACGCCTTCTTTCAGCCCTTTCCAAAGAGTGACCAAGCTAGTGGAGAATGTTTTTTAAAAATAGTGAGCTGGTAGCACATTAGGAGATATGGGTCATTACTAAAACAATTGTCCAACCAATGTGAGCTGCACCCATTGGTTGTAGCGCAGCACATTAGATGGACAATGGCCATGGGCATGAAGCCCAAGTGGAAACTTTCTATTTCTTGAAGGACCTCTTTAATATGTTCCTCAGTGTTTTCTGTAGGGTGTTCCTCTGCACACACCAATCACAGCACCTAGGAGGACAGTCTGAAAAATATTAAAAGTAGAAGTAGCGGAAAGGAGAATTTATGGAAGAAAGTTTCTCTAAAGTAGGAAAGTAAACTTGAATACAAGAGAGAACACAGGGTCCTAGAGGATGCACAGGAAGTGTGAAGACACAGAGGAACATAAGAATCTGAAAGTCACCTAATGACCTAAGAAAGGGTTGAAGAATAGTTAGTCAAAACTTGATTATATGAGATAATCAAGTGAAATCCTGAAGGTCTTTAACAAGAAAGAACTACAGAGATAGACATCAAGCCAACAGACATTATGGAGAAGATCTGGTCCCACCGAAGGAATGGTCTACTGATCCAACCAAACAACTGTATTAGTACAGGCTATGGTGTGAAGCATGACCCACAAACATTTAGGATGGATATTTATGAAGGAGAGGAAAAAAAAAAAAGATGAGGAATATCTAAACCAACATGCGTTCATTGCACACGTGAGCACCACAACATCTACTGATCTTCTAATTTTCAAACTACCAGACTACAAAATGGTGGAAGTGGCAGTGACGTTGTGAGATACCTGAGAGGGGGATTTGGAGACTGTCACAGTTGGGGTGTCTTGGAAGAACGAAGCAGTTGCAGCAGCAGTCGGGGACACATGCGACTCCTCTGCATCATGGTTGGTGGTCTTGGCCTCTGCGCTGGGGGCTGGAGGACCATCCGGAGGGGAGGTTGTGGTCTTATTGGGTTTAGCAGAGTTGGGGTCACTGAAAAAAAAAAAAAAAAAATGAATAAGAATATAATAAATTAGATTTCGGGAAAGTCTAGAGGAAGTGATTATTGCTACATATTTAGTTACATTGCATGGACATGCACATTTTTGTTTTCTTTGGTCCTACTTGGATGTTCCTTTAGCTTTATGGTATTAAATGAACACTCAGGTGGGGTGGCATACATGGGAACCAATCTTCTCCATTTCCCCCCTGAAACCGCTGAAAGCCACCTTCTCCTCTCTCTGCCGCAGGAGGAAAATGATCATTATGCTATTCAAAATAAAAAATGTGAAATTCTGAACCATTTCATTGTAGGCTGTGACCAATCACTTGCAAAGGGTCCCTTGTGCTGATATCGGCAGTTGACATCTGCCATCTTCTGCCCCCCACATCCCCGCACATTGGTGATCTTTCTGTGCTACTGGAGTTAATACAGCTGTTGCATGTGGGATAGTCACTAAGAGTGCCAACTACGTCCATCCTATCTGCCCACCTCCTTCATTCATGAAAGCCGTACTATCCCATCCCACAATGCAAAGCGCTCTATGAGTGGAGGATGGGTGGGTGGATGAATGAAAGGTCCACCTGCTCCTTCCATTAAATCGTTTTCATTCATGAAAGCTATAGTACCACTTCTATGAATGGAGGAGGACGGATGGAATGGTGAGCGTAACTGGCACCCTTGCCAAGTGGTCAAGTTCAGCAGCTCCTATTAACCACCATAGCCCTGGAAGATTACTTTGTGGGGGTATGGGGGGGGGGGGGGGGGGGGGTTTATAAAAAAAAAAAAATGGAACTCAACTTAGGTTTAAGAAAGGGTCATGTATGTTTTTTTTTCCATTTCCAGGTTCCAACACCCCCTGCTGAGTAAAGACCTATAGCCCTGCAATCAGTGAAACTCATACTCCCTGCTGATTGGAGAGCTCTAGTTCAGAGGAAACCCTGGGAGGGACTGGGAGTAAGGTAAAACCATTTCATAGGAACAAATGTCGTATCCTTTCTCCAACCCCACGACCAATTGTGATAGAGAGGGTAACGAAGGACCTTTCCATGTGCCACAAACAGGACATTCATAAAACCAACAGCTTGATTGTACAATTAAAACCAAGCAGTTTACAAAAGTCAAATATGTACTTCAGTAGGACGAATGCATGTTAGTTATTCCAAATTGGTGTAAGGGATCGACGCGTTTCGCAACTTGGAACAACTAATATGTGCTGGCCCCAGGGCTCGTTTTTCCTCAGAAAATGGGTGCAGGAACTCCACCTTTCTGAACACCATCCCCTGGCTCCACCCCCTACCCACCTCCAAATACCACCCTTTTACAGAACAGTACCAAGTATTTTGTGGTGCTATGGAATCTGTGCATAACAAGAAAAACTGTAAAATATGGGAAGCACAGTGGCTAAATGGTTAGAACTAGGGTTGTTGGTTCAGATTCCAACCTGCCTGGAGTTCGCATGATCTCCCTGTGCCTGCGTGGGTTTCCTCCGGAGACTTCAGTTTCCTCCCACAAAGACAAGCTGGTAGGTGAATTGGCTCCTGCCCAAATTGGCCCTAGTATGTGTATGGATGAATGTGAGTTAGGGACCTAAGACTGTACACCCCTCGAGGGTTAGGGACTGATGTGATTATATATATATATATATATATATATATATAAAATTTATGTTTACAATGGACCCCCACAACAATAGATCCACCCCCACCAATGAATCTCCCTACAATAGACCCCAAGGATGAATAGATCCACCCCCCCACTAATGGATCTCCCTACAAAGCGACCCCCCCCCCCCCCAGGATGAATAGTTCCACCCCACAACAATGGATCTCCCTACAATAGACCCCCAGGATGAAAAGATCCACCCCCCACCAATGGATCTCCCTACAATAGACCCCCAGGATGAATAGATCCACCCCCCACCCATGGATCTCCCTACAATAGACCTCCAGGATGAATAGATCCACCCCCCACCAATGGATCTCGCTACAATAGACCCCAAGGATGAATAGATCCACCCCCCACTAATGGATCTCCCTACAAAGCGACCCCCCCCCCCCCAGGATGAATAGTTCCACCCCCAACAATGGATCTCCCTACAATAGACCCCCAGGATGAAAAGATCCACCCCCCACCAATGGATCTCCCTACAATAGACCCCCAGGATGAATAGATCCACCCCCACCCATGGATCTCCCTACAATAGACCTCCAGGATGAATAGATCCACCCCCCACCAATGGATCTCGCTACAATAGACCCCCAGGATGAATAGATCCACCCCACACCAATGGATCTCCCTACAATAGACCCCCAGGATGAATAGATCCACCCCCACCAATCGATCTCCCTACAATGCAACCCCCCCAGGATGAATAGTTCCATCCCACAACAATGGATCTCCCTACAATAGACCCCCACGATGAATAGCTCCACCCCCCACCAACGTATCTCTTTACAAAAGACCCCCAGGATAAATAGATACATCCCAAAAGAATAGATCCACCACCCACCAATGGATCTCCCTACAAAAGACCCCCCAGGATGCATAGATCAACCCCACAACAATAGATATATCCTACAACAATGGATCTCCCTGCAATAGACCCCCAGGATGAATAGATCCACCCCATACCAATGGATCTTCCTACAATAGACCCCCAGGATTAATAGATCCACCCCCACCAATGGATCTCCCTACAAAAGACCCCTCAGGATGAATAAATCCACCCCACTAATTAAGATCCACTCTCAAACAATGGACCTCCTGCAACAAAATACCACCTCAGCAACAATAGTTCCACCCCAGCAGCAACAACAACAGATTTCCCAGCAGCCAACCTGAATAGACTTCTCCCTCAACAGTAGATAATTCCCAGCAAACAACATATACCCCCACCAGCAACAATAGAACCCCATGCAAAAATGATATCCCCCAGCAGCCAGTATCAATAAATCCTCCAAGCACACCCCTTGACAGTACATACATTCAGTGCTGGAGGTGCCACAACCATGTTCCCGCCATGGCTAGCCCCAACCCATGCCGATTGGTGGTGGGGTTGGAGAAAGGATATATTGCACATTTGGAGAGTTCGGGATGGAGCCATACGAGGAGGGAGAGAATCCCGTACAACTCTGAAAGACTGAAGGGAAGGCTGGAGGCCAGATTTTATACCGACCTCTCAGGCGGCAACATTTTGAATTTCACGCAACGCATGCAAAGTACATTACCGGTTAATCCCACACACTCAGAACACAAACTGGAGAAAACGCCATTAGACGGTATTAATGTCCCTTCAGAAATGTCAGACATCAAACACAAGAACATGCGTGTTGGTCACATGATCATTATTGGCACACGCTCGGCACCCCGGGTTAGCGCACGATGCGGCCTCCACCACTACCTGCTCTTCTTTAGCCTCAGTCGGGAGAAGAGGTTGGCTTTCTTTCTGTGGGAGGTGTGTGGGGGGGAACAATGGCGGTCAATACAGAGCAAAATAGTTAACGAAATAAATAAAAAAAATTAAAAATATATATAAATTTAAAAAAATTATACAAAAAATTTTTTAAAAATATAAAAAAATTACTAAAAAATAATAATAATTATTAATTATTATTAAAAAAAGAGGTCAATGTAGAAACTCTGAAGTTTTTTTTTTTGCAATTTTTTTGATCAGTAAAGAGGAATATATTGAGTACAAAACACCACTGCTGAGACCTAACATGAGATCTACAGTATATGTCCATGAGTAATGTGTCAGTACAACACTTCCACTATCACCTCTCACCGCGATCACAGTTCCCCCTCTGACAAAACCTTCATCTATTTTGCTCTGCAGAAAACAACATCGGGCATTCCCCAGGGCCACCATCTCCTTTCTGGACAGAGATGCTGGCTCAGAGAAGACACAATCCTTGAAATCTGGTGCTTTGGCTGTGTTTACAAATGTCTGACACAGATCAGACCCAGCTGAAGCCTCTCACCTTACGTTACAGTCTGATCACTGGGGGGGGTGGAGACTGGGGAAATGCTTCCTCCTGCCTGCAGCAAATTGATACCATCTCAGCCTAGGAAAAGTCACTGGCTGAAACTCATGGATGGATTTTTTACCAATGAAAAGTTCTGAAAAAGGATTCTGTTGCTGTATATTGTAACCAAGGAGGAGGGGGAGACTGGGGAAATGCTTCCTCCTGCCTGCAGCAAACTGATACCATCTCAGCGTAGGAAAAGTCACTGGCTGAAACTCATGGATGGATTTTTTACCAATGAAAAGTTCTGAAAAATGATTCTGTTGCTCTATATTGTAACCAAGGAGGAGACTGGGGAAAGGCTTCCTCCTGCCTGCAGCAAACTGATACCATCTCAGCCTAGGAAAAGTCACTGGCTGAAATTCATGGATGGATTTTTTACCAGTGAAAAAGTTCTGAAAAATGATTCTGTCACTGTATATTGTAACCGAGGAGGAGGGGAGACTGGGGAAAGGCTTCCTCCTGCCTGCAGCAGACTGATATCTCAGCCTAGGAAAAGTCACTGGCTGAAACGCATGGATGGATTTTTTACCAATGAAAAAGTTCTGAAAAATGATTCTGTCGCTGTATATTGTAACCAAGGGGAGAGGGGAGACTGGGGGTTAGCCGCGTTTACAAGCGTTTGGCATTTGAAACGCTGATCAAATCTACTCCTGAATGCAAGTTTGGTGCGTTCAAAAAAAAAAAAAAGGAATGTAAATTCAACTGCCTGTAAACAACGATGTGTACATGGACACATAGGAAAACTTTAGGGAGAGTTCAGGGGCTGCTGAAAAAAAAAAAAGTAAAAAAAAAAACGCATAAAAGCTCCTAAACGTGAGTTTATCAGCTGCAGTGTACATGGAGCCTAAGAATTCATTGTGCTCAGAAATATATCACAATTCCAAAATACCATCTTAGAATTCAGTTTTATTATGTCACAATTCTGCACAATTTTTTCTGAATTTTGTGTCATTTCCAAAAATTTTGACATCTTTGATTTCCCAAACATCAGAATTTTTGTATTATCTCAGAATTCACGAAGGATTTTTGATTAATACCTGGACCCAGCACTCTTTTGGGATAGGTCTATGTACTTGTGAATCCAAGAGGAAATTTGGGATTCTAAAATGTTAGGGGAGTGGGAATGTATTTCTAAAGTAAATGGGAGAAGGACATATGGGAGGGAGGTGGACGTAATGGGAGGGAGGTGGACGTAAGGTGGACGAATGGGAGGAGGTGGACGTAATGGGAGGGAGGTGGACGTATGGAAGGGAGGTGGACGTAATGAGGGGAGGTGGACGTAATGGAAGGGAGGTGGACGTAATGAGAGGGAGGGACGTAAGGTGGACGTATGAGAGGGAGGTGGACGTAATGAGAGGGAGGTGGACGTAATGAGAGGGAGGTGGACGTAATGAGAGGGAGGTGGACGTAATGGAGAGGGAGGTGGACGTAATGAGAGGGAGGTGGACGTAATGGAGGGAGGTGGACGTAATGAGAGGGAGGTGGACGTAATGAGAGGGAGGTGGACGTAATGGAAGGGAGGTGGACGTATGAGAGGGAGGTGGACGTAATGGGAGGGAGGTGGACGTAATGAGAGGGAGGTGGACGTAATGGAAGGGAGGTGGACGTAATGGGAGGGAGGTGGACGTAATGGGAGGGAGGTGGACCTATGGGAGGGAGGTGGACGTATGGGAGGGAGGTGGACCTATGGGAGGGAGGTGGACCTATGGGAGGGAGGTGGACCTATGGGAGGGAGGTGGACCTATGGGAGGGAGGTGGACCTAATGGGAGGGAGGTGGACGTATGGGAGGGAGGTGGACCTATGGGAGGGAGGTGGACCTATGGGAGGGAGGTGGACCTAATGGGAGGGAGGTGGACCTAATGGGAGGGAGGTGGACCTATGGGAGGAAGGTGGACCTAATGGGAGGGAGGTGGACGCATGGAGGGAGGTGGACGCAATGAAGGGAGGTGGACGTATGGGAAGGGAGGTGGACGTATGAAGGGAGGTGGACGTATGGAGGGAGGTTGACATATGGAAGGAGGTTGACGTAATGGAGGGATTGCTCCTTGCAGAACTCTTAATCCTTGGAATCCGATCGCTCCAGCCCACTTTTCTCCATGGTGCAGCGCAGGATTCTAGAAGTGGATGAAGTCTCTCTGTGGTCCGTGACATTGGCCGGGGTTTTATGTAATATAACCCGCATTGGCATTAGCATGAACGGGATGATTCATAGAGTCTGCGACTGTCTGCCCACACGCCTGACCTCAGGGGAATTCGGCAGCTGAAGATTGACAGGATCGCCCGTATGGGGCTTGCTGACTACAGCCAATCACCTCCCTTATCACTTCAGAGTCTCCAGAAACCATGGTGCCAGCACAATACGATACAAGACAGATTAAACATCTATATGGTTCATATCCACAAGTGGTGGGGGGGAGGGGCGGTCATACTTTAGAAGCCGAAATGAAAAAGTAGAGGAACTTAGAGAAAAATGGATGTATGAAAATTCTTTCAGAGAAGGTGCAGTTCAAACCAAGATACTTCTTCACATGATGGAGGCGATGTGATCACTTCTCTACATTGGTGGATCTGAGCAAAGGCAGACTCTGCTCCTACTACTACCACCCAGGTCTCCTCTCTTGAAATATCTGCTTGCTGGAGGACTCCGCTCCTTCCTCAACTCTCCGGGGTCTTATCGTCTGAAATACTCTGCACTGTTGGAGGACTCTGCACCTTCCTCTGTCTGATGCTCCTCACCTGAAACTGTGCTGTTGGAAGACTCTGCTCCTTCCTCTAACTCTCCTGAAATACTCTGCACTGCTGGAGGACTCTGCTCCTTCCTCTATAGCTATCCTCCTGAAATATTCTGCTCTGCTAGAGGACTCTGCTCCTTCCTCTATAGCTATCCTCTCCTGAAATACTCTGTCTGCTGGAGGACTCCGCTCCTCCTCCACTCTCCTCTTCTCCGAAATGAAATACTCTGCACTGTTGAGAGGACTCTGCAAATTCCTCTGTCTGAGAAGGTGCTCCTCACCTGAAATACTGTGCTGTTGGAGGACTCTGCTCCTTCCTCTAACTCTCCTGAAATGACTCTGCACTGCTGGAGGACTCTGCTCCTTCCACCCTATAGCTATCCTCCTGAAATATTCTGCTCTGCTGAGGACTCTGCTCCTTCCTCTAACTATCCTCTCTCGTCTGAAATACTCTGCTCTGCTGGAGGACTCTGCACCTTCCTCTATATGCTATCCTCCTGAAATACTCTGCTCTGCTGGAGGACTCTGCTCCTTCCTCTATAGCCATCCTCCTGAAATACTCTGCTCTGCTGAAGGACTCTGCTCCTTCCTCTATAGCTCTCCTCTCCTGAAATATTCTGCTCTGCTGGACTCTGCTCCTTCCTCTATAGCTCTCCTCCCCTGAAATATTCTGCTCTGCTGGACTCTGCTCCTTCCTCTAACTCTCCTCTTTGAAATACTCTGCGCTGTTGAAGGTCTCTGCTCCTTCCTCTGTCTAATGCTCTTCACCTGAAACGGTGCTGCTGGAGGACTCTGCTCCTTCCTCTAACTCTCCTCTCCTGAAATGCTCTGCTCCTTCCTCTGTCTAATGCTCCTTACCTGAAACGTTCTGCGCTGCTGGAGGACTCTGCTCCTTCCTCTAACTCTATCCTGAAATACTTTGCTGGACTCTGCTCCTTCCTCTAACTCTCCTCTCCTGAAATGCTCTGCACTGCTAATGACTCTGCTCCTTCCTCTGTCTAATGCTCCTCACCTGAAACGTTCTCTGCTGCTGGAGGACTCTGCTCCTCAAGCTGACCATACACTAATAGATTTTTGAATGAACGTTCATCCGAACATTTTTTAGTACGTGTGATGACTTGACGAGTGTCATTTGCAACTGCTTCAAAATTTTGTTTGCTTTTAACACTGGATTTTGGAATTAATGTAATTTCCTGAATGAAAACACACACTGTTAGAAGTTTGTTCAAGAAAAAAAGTTCCTTCTTGCTTCTACAAATTTTCTGAATGTTCTGAAAACTAAACGTTTCAAATAAAATTCTACTAGTGTTTGGCCAGCAATACAGTAACAATGATCAGGTAAGGAGATGCACTTACCTGATCCTCTGATCCTACCAGCACAAGACCGGTCCTGCACCCCCACGCTCCTGAAAATGGACTGTTCCTGATGTCAACAGGCCAAAAGCAGGCTCCATAGACCAGGAACAGTCCACAGCTGGACCGTGGGGGAGCACAGTTTTTCAGGGGTATGAAGGATCGGCTGAATATAAGCTTTTTCCTCATACCTAGACAAAACAAGCAGTCGACACATGCAGTGAGGGCACAGTCCCGCAGCATGGAAAAAAAACTTTTTTTTGTTGAGTTTTAACATCAGCCTACTGGCAGAACATCAGCAATCCTTCCATATAATGCTCAGTGCCATCACTAATAGACGTTAGCCACATAAAATTAGACTTCTTCGGTAATATTGAAGATGTTTTATAGCTTTTCCAAGCCATTTTGTTTCCCAACTCTGCCAGGGACAACACTAGTGGTAGGGAGTGGTTCTGAAGAAGTAGGGAAAAGCCAGGGTCTACGTCTGCAACTTCAGCAGGCTCCCTGTTGGGTTCAACTGGCAAGGCAGCAATTGGCCCTCCTTGGCAGGCATGGTCTTCAGGTCAAGCCTACTACCCGCCGACTCTCCACTCCACTGACTAAGTTCCTGGTCAGGTGAGCTCCTCCGCCAGGTTCTTGTATGGTTTTCAATAAATTGGTTACTACACTCTGGGCCTGTGTGTTCTCTGCTACTGCACCATGCTGCACCTAAACAAACAAATGCAGTAGCGAAGTATACATAAATCCCCATAATGTCTCCACTCCCTACTCCTTCCTGGGCACTGAGCTCCACAGGACCTCCATCCAAAATTGAAATGAAGACTATAGGTGGACTTGTCCTAAAAAACGGCACTCACTCACCTCGGTTGGGCTTTCCCAGTGAAGGCGTTGGTTGACGGTTTCCCCTGATGGCTCTCAAGGTTCGTCATCACTTCATTGAGGTTTTGATGCAGCTGTAATCAAGGTTTGAAGAAGACAATCATGAAATACAACACCCGGCTACATCCATACCAAACATAATATGACATCACCCTTTTCTCGAAGGCCATCTACATGACGTATAAAAGGAACTCAGCCAAGTTTGCTTGAGCTGCCTTTAAAACGGTCTGTGGAGGCCAAAAAAGATGATGTAGACAAATAAACTAAGCTTTGACAATTGTTTAACATAAATCTGTCACACACGGAACAAGATCCCAGAGTTACAGAACACTACAATCATGAAAACGTGGAAAGGATTCTTCTAAACCAGGGGTCTCCAAACTGTGGCCCTTTGCTACCCTTTATCCCGGCCCTTGGGGCACTATTCCTCCCAGTGAGGCCAAAAAAGTTGCAGGACTTCTTTACATGAAACCAATGATGGTGTACTATTCTTCTCACTAATACCAATGGTGGGGCACTACTCTTCCTCCTACTAACCAACAACCCTGAGGCCATGTTTATTCTCACTGATGCTGGAGCCAGGATATCCTTACTGGCCCTAATCCAGCCCTCGTAAAGTCTGAAGGACCATATACTGGACCGTTGTTTGAAAAGTTTGGAGACCCCTGTTCTAAATTAATACTGCTGTAGCAAATTAATTGAAATGAGCAAAATAAGTGGCAGTTACTTTTATAATCTACCGCCATTTATTTTTACGGTTACAAGATTCATTATTGGATGCCTATTCTATTTACTGGACTCCAGTCCCTTTATTGAATACAGTTCATCAAGTGACATCTAGATTAAATGCATCATTAATGCCGTTCTATTCACTGCGCTTTAACCACTGCTCTTCGGCTGGATCCATTTTCAATGGAGTGAGCAAAAATTTCCTAATTATTGCTCTTATTTCTGTTTTTTTTTGGGGATTATAGAAGCATCTGTCCTCCATGAGATCACAATGGACACGGTTAGGCTAGGTTCACACCCACAGGTGTGACCGAGCGTGCATGCGCGCATTTCTGCACGTTGGGTGTAGGGCAGCCTATTCATCTCAATGGGCTGCCCTATGGGCTGGAAAAGCTGTAATGAGATCTGACGCTTATCCAAAACCGTGCGATTTGGTGCATACATTTGCAGCATTGCATTGGGGTGTCAATAATTAACAGCACTGGGCAAAGCGCAGATTTGCTTGCATTGCTGGCACATAAAAGGTGTGAACCAGGGGCGGACTGACCATTTGGAAACTCGGGCACTGCCCGAGGGCTCAGGGTCAGTAGAGGGTCCCATGAGATGCCCCTGGTACCTTTTTCATAGGCGTTTTTGAGTTTGGGCAAGGACACAGGAGCCCCATGATCCCCTATTGCCCGGGGGCCCCATGAGTTGTCAGTCCACCCCTGGTGTGAACCCAACCTTACAGCATGGCCACTATTCAATCTCTGTACAATCGAAATAATGTAATAGGAGTATCAACCTAAAAACAATCCATTTGCTTGGTTTTAAATCAGGCAGGCCTCTGCACTACTACAGTTGTTGGAAGATCTAAAGGAGATTGTACAATCAGATTGCATGGTGTATGGTCAGCCCAAATTAAGCTCCCTACTCCATTATCTGATATTTCTTTTTCAAGAGCCATCATCTCTGCACAATACTGCCCCCCCCCCCCCAAACACACACAAATCCGGCTACGTAGAACATGTGCAATCCACTGGCATGCAGCCCCCTCACCTTGCTCATCTCTTTGTGGAAATTTTCCTCCAGGCCCGCAATACTCTGGAATGTGTTGACATAGAAACCAACACGGCTGCCAAACAAACATAAAACACAATCTGTTATTTTCCCCCCGAAACGGCCCAACTTCAACCGTTACAGCTGTTCAGGATCACAATGCTAGAACTGCCGTCATCCGCCCGTCACCTGTTGTCACTTTTCCACCACGGTTAATGTGATGGCCCATTAATGTGTATGTAGACCCAAACCATGAACGGCTCCTATTTGCATCCCTTTGGTCTGTTAAAGCAGAACTCCGGGCACAAAAAAAAAAACAAAAAAAAAAACTTGCATTCATATACACTCCCCTCCCCCGGCCACTTTATTAGGTCCACCTGTTCAATTGCTTGGTAACACAAATTGCTAATCAGCCAATCACATGGCAGCAACTCAATGCTTTTAGGCATCTAGACGGGGTGAAGAAGACTTGCTGAAGTTCAAACTAAAAGGGGATTTAAAAGGGACGTTGAACGTGGCATGGTTGTTGGTGCCAGATGGGCTGGTCTGAGTATTTCAAAAACTGCTGATCTCCTGGGATTGTCACGCACAAAACCATCTCTAGGGTTTACAGAGAATGGTCTGAAAAAGAGAAAATATCCAGCAAGCAACAGTTGTGTGGAGGAAAATGCCTTGTTGATGTCAGAAGAGAATGGGCAGACTGGTTCCAGATGATAGAAAGGCAACAGTAACCCATGTCAATATGGTAACACAAATTGCTAATCAGCCTATCATGGCAGCAACTCAATGCATTAAGGCATCTACGTGGTGAAGACGACTTGCTGAAGTTCACACCAAGCATCAGAATGGGAAGAAATGGGATTTAAGCGACTTTGAACGTGGCATGGTTGTTGGTGCCAGATGGGCTGGTCGGAGTATTTCAAAAACTGCTGATCTACAGGGATTTTCATGCACATCCCTAGATGGCTGAAAAAAAAAGTATCTACTGAGCAGCAGTTGTGTGGAGGAAAATGCCTTGTTGATGTCAGAGGAGTATGGGCAGACTGGTTCCAGATGATAGAAAGGCAACAGTAACTCAAATAACCACTGAACCAAGGTTACAACCAAGGTATGCAGACTACCATCTTTGAATGCACAACACGTCCAACCTTGAAGCAGATGGGCTACAGCAGCAAAAGACCACACCGGGTGCCACTCCTGTCAGCTAAGAACAGGAAACAGAGGCTAAAATTCGCACAGGCTCACCAAAAATGAACAAAAGATTGAATAAAAATTGCCTGGTCTGAGGAGTCTAGATTTCAGCTGCGACATTCAGATGGTAGGGTCAGAATTTGGCATAAACATGAAAGCATGGATCCATCCTGCCTTGTATCAACGGTTCAGGCTGGTGGTGGTGGTGTCATGGTGTGGTGGATCCATCCTGCCTTGTATCAACGGTTCAGGCTGGTGGTGGTGGTCTCATGGTGTGGTGGATCCATCCTGCCTTGTATCAACGGTTCAGGCGGTTCATGGTGTGGTGGATCCATGCCTTGTATCAACGTTCAGGCTGGTGGTGGTGGTGTCATGGTGTGGTGGATCCATCCTGCCTTGTATCAGCGGTTCAGGCTGGTGGTGGTGGTGGTGTCATGGTGTGGTGGATCCATCCTGCCTTGTATCAGCGGTTCAGGCTGGTGGTGGTGGTGTCATGGTGTGGTGGATCCATCCTGCCTTGTATCAATGGTTCAGGATAGTGGTGGTGGTATAATGGTGTGGGGGAGATTTTCTTGGCAGGCTTTGGGCCCCAACTGTGCATAGTTTTAACACCACGGCCTACCCGAGTATTGTTGCTGACCATGTCCACCCCTTTATGACTCCAGTGTCCCCATCTTCTGATGGCTCCTTCCAGCAGAATAATGCCCCATGTCACAAAGCTCAAATAATCTCCAACTGGTTTCTTGAACATGACAATGAGGTCAGTAGACTCCAATGACATCCACAGTCACCAGATCTCCATCCAATAGAACACCTTTGGGATGTGATGGAACGGGAGATTCTCATCATGGATGTGCAGCCAACAAATCTGCAGCAACTGCGTGATGCCATCATGTCAATATGGACCAAAATCTCTGAGGTACGTTTCCAACACCTTGTTGAATCTATGCCATGAAGGAAGAAGGCAGTTCTGAAGGCTAATGGGAGTCCAATTTGGTACTGGCAAGGTGGACCTAATAAAGTGGCCAGTGAGTGTTTATTCCCCAATAGCCACAAAGGCTATAAATTCACTTTGTGCACCAAATGCCTTTGCAGCTGTACTGTACCTAGCAGGCCCCACCCACCACAGGCTGCTTGGTGGAGCGGAGACCAGACCAGTCACCCTGCACAAGGAGAGAGAGCAGCAGTGAGTGGTCTTTATCACAGGAAGTCTCACCCTGGATTACTGGACAGGTCTGGAAGAAATACACAAAGCTCACCGAGATTCAAGAAGAAGACACATGACAAATGGATTAAGACAATATTGGCTGATCTTGGAGTTCAACTAAATGTACCACTGAAAGCATTTTGTTAGATCTGTTTGAAACCATACCTGTTGATCCTGCCAAGAATTTTGTGAGATGATACCTTCCCTGAGCTCTCTGCCCTGCTGCACGGTTATCAGCTACATTTATCCCAGCTATATCTACACTACAGAATCCATCCCTTCTATTATATTGAGAATAGAATTATTCTGTAGTCCGGTCCTAGGGTGACAACGCTGCTCCTTCATAGAGAAAGTAAAGTTAGTGAGTGTTCTCACCCTAGGACAGGGAGTGTGTTACTGGCAGGATCACCAGGTGAAAGAGCCTGAAAAAGAAAAAAAACAAATGCAGTCACCACATCTATAAAACAGAGAAGCCACAATTTAAGTTATTGATTTTACATACTCTAAACAATTGATCAGGTGACCTGTTCCACCATGGGGGTGGACAAGCTAAGCTGAACTCGGATTACCCCTTTCAGCAGAGATCAGGTGACCAAAGGTCTAAGGCAGTCATTCTCAACCATGTTTCTTCCAGAGGTTGGTAGGGGTTTTTTGAGCTGTGACTAGTAGACCTTCCATTTGAAGATGGTGTCTACATAGGGCAGGACTATCAAAACTTGGCAAAGCAAGCAGAATGACACCAATTTTCTTCTTAAGTTGTTTGTAAGGGTCCCTATTATTCCTACTGACCACCAATGTAAGGGGCCATTGACCCCACATTAACTGGAACACTATAGCAGGGTTCCTCAAGAGGTTGCTAGGGGTTCCTTGAGCTGTAGCTTGCCGACCTTCCATTTGATGGTGCATGCATAGTATGAGGACCATCAAAACTTGGCAAAGCAAGCAGAATGACACCAATTTTCTATTTAAATTGTCTGTAAGGGTTCCATTATTCCTACGAACCACCAATGTAAGGGGCCATTGACCCCAGATTAACTGGAACACTATAGCAGGGTTCCTTGAGCCGTAGCTTGCTGACCTTCCATTTGATGGTGCATGCATAGTATGAGGACCATCAAAACTTGCCAAAGACAGCACAATGACACAGATTTTCTTTAGCTGCCTGTTGCATGGGTGTAGCCACAGGGGTCACAGTGCCAACTCCCGTGGGGCCCGTGGGGCCTCCCTGTCACACCTGGACAGGAGGGGCAATGGGGCAGAATTTACTAGAACCAACTAGCTGTATTTTCCTCCACTTACAGTAGCTGAAAGCCCACTTCTCCTCCTCTCCCTCCCACTGGCATTCAGCTGCTGTAAGTGGAGGAACTCCCACAGTTCCGCACAACAGAGATTTATCCTCTCACCTTACTACCCCACTCACTGTTCTCCCTCACAGCAGTACACTGCAGGAAAAAGGACAGCCGGTCCTGCAGTTCAGTAAGTTAGGCTGTCATTATAATAAATGTGTAACCAATCAGAAGTCCTGGAATTGCAACCAATCAGGAAATTCTGATACTGTCATGTGACAGTGCTTGACCTTTCCCAATTGGCTGCAGTTCCAGGGCTTCTGATCAGTTCAATGGATTTCATTTACCTGACTGCAACACCAGCTGTTGTATATGGTAAGTTAAGGGGGCTCCTTGTTTACTTGGCCACTGCTGATGTGAAGGGTAACTCTGGCATAAAGGGGGACTCCTGATGTTAAATAGGTTAGGCACTGATGTAAAGAGGAACTCCTAATGTGAAGGAGACAGCGGCAGAACTACAAGGGTCACAAAGGTTTTACTTTTGACCAGGCCCTAGCGTTCTGCCACCATTGCAGAAGATGTGAAAGTGTCCAGTTGCAGGACCGTAATTATGGGCCCCGTGAAGGGAGTAAATGGCCCTGCGATCCGTAAGAAGGGCCCCAGGCTACTGGCCTCAGAGGGGGTCATGGGAACCCTCCATGGTTTCTTACACCGGGGGCCCTGCATCTGGGAAGATGGAGAAGGAGGAGAAGAAGGAAAAGAAGGAGGAGAAGAAGGAAAAGAAGGAGGAGAAGAAGGAAAAGAAGGAGAGAAGAAGGAAAAGAAGGAGGAGAAGAAGGAAGGAGAAGAAGGAGAAGGAAAAGAAGGAGAAGGAGAAGGAGAAGGAAAAGAAGGAAAAGAAGGAAAAGAAGGAGAAGAAGGAGAAGAAGGAAAAGAAGGAAAAGAAGGAAAAGAAGGAAAAGAAGGAAAGAAGAAGGAAAAGAAGGAGAAGAAGGAGAAGGAGGGAAAAGAAGGAAAAGAGGAGAAGGAGGAAAAGAGGAGAAGGAGGAAAAAGGAGGAGAAGGAGGAGAAGGAGGAGAAGGAGGAGAAGGAGGAGAAGGAGGAGAAGGAGGAGAAGGAGGAGAAGGAAAGAAGGAGAAGAAGGAAAAGAAGGAGAGAAGGAGAAAAGAAGAGGAGAAGAAGGAGAAGAAGGAGAAGAGGAGAAGGAGGAGAAGAAGAGGAGGAGAAGAAGAAGAAGGAGAAGAGGAGGAGGAGAAGAATGAGGAGGAGGAGAAGGAGGAGGAGAAGGAGAAGGAGAAAGAAGGAGGAGGAGAAGGAGGAGGAGAAGGAGGAGGAGAAGGAGAAGGAGGAGGAGAAGGAGAAGAAGAAGGAGGAGGAGGAGAAGGAAGAGAAGAAGGAGGAGGAGAAGGAGAAGAAGGAGGAGGAGAAGGAGGAGAAGAAGGAGAAGCTGAGAAAGGCAGGCATGTGGTTTTTTGACCAGCACTGGGGGCATCTTGGATCATCATTCTCTAGGACAGAAGGTGCAGTATATTTTGTTCTTGGGTTTAGATACATTTTGAAGGAACTCCAAGCTCAGTAAGCTGAGGTCATTGTATCTACATTGTCATGGTTTTACAAACCCCTCCACCTACCTATTCCATAATGAAGGAAGCTCCTCCTGCAGGTCAGCATTCATCTCCTCAAAGACCTTCTGAGATTTTACCAGCTCTTCTTCAGCCTGGCCAGAACAAGATGCAGAGTATTAGAACACAATGGTGACAATTCCATAATGCGGGTTACGGGGATATAAGGGCGATCAGCATCACTAGAGAGACAGAAAGCTACAACTGTCCTAAAGAGAACTCTCAGATATTCCTCTATTATCCCAAATAAAGCCATTTGAGATTTTTTTTATAAAAATCCCCCAATGTGTCTTGTAAATACACCATACATGGCCCTCTTGAACTGTGGTAGACGACTGAAGTAGGCTGCACTGATTTCCTTGGTCACATATGGCTACAACCCACTATGCAGAGGACATCGTCTTTGTATCTCAGCAATATTTTCATCTTTAACATAGCAGATTGCACACCTGGATTCCAAAAACAATAGTCAACACATTTTATAAGACAAAAAAAAAAGAAAAAAAAAAGAAGGACCAAAGCCAACAAGCAACCAATCACGGATTCTTTCACATGAGAACGATTAAAGGCGATTGGCTTCTACTGGTTGGTGCCCAAGGCAGTAAGGATGAGCTGTAAGCCAAAGTGGATCCTTTTATTTCTTTTTCAATCAAAAAGGTTTCAATTCATGTTCATTGGCTAATATTACACCACATGATGTACCCAATGACAGCCACACAGTCAGATCTTGTTTTAGATTTTGATCCACCAGTGACTAATTGACTGGACTGGACAACGTGAATGGACCATAAGCAAAGCCTGTACAGGTCCATGGTCTGGTCAGGCAGAGCACAGATAGGCAGATTGAGACTGAGAGCAATGGCCAGGATGGCACCCCCCCGTTGACTAGCGTGGGACTCGTGGCCACTTCTTCAGCAATTTGCCCCAAGGACTGAAGCGGGTACATAGGAGAGTTATCACCCACTTTTCCTCTCCCAGTGAGAAGGGTCAGTTGGGTTTCACATAGATTTACCAATAAGCCTGAAAATCTCTGGAAGCCATGAGATATTCTGATGGTTACCCCCTCTGGTTATACCTCCCCCTCCCATTGGCCAAAGTGGAACCAAACCCTCCTACCGTTTACATCCAAGTGGCCATCTTGGCCTCAGTTGGATCTGTAGTTTCAATGGTGGTGCACATGTGATCGGCTATGTCATCTAATGGCTTGACAGTTCAGTTGAAAGCACAACACTGACAGTTATCAGTCATGGCATGACCTTGAATGCAACGGTTTTGGGAAACGTTTAAAATCGATGGGTTTAGCTCCACTCTAATGGCCCTGTCTTTGCCCAAGCATGGTGTCCAGTATTGGCCGAAATTTACAGCAGCCTTAATTTTTCTACTTGACCGTCCCCAACCTATAACCAAATCTCACGGCGTGTAGCCAAGGCTAGACAGATCTATATTGAGTCAGGTCAGCCTTCATTTTTCTGCTTGACCGTCCCCAACCTATAACCAAATCTCACGGCGTGTAGCTAAGGCTAGACAGATCTATATTGAGTCAGGCCAGCCTTCATTTTTCTACTTGACCATCCCAACCTATAACCAAATCTCCCGGTGTGTAGCCAAGGCTAGACAGATCTATATGGAGCAGGGGCGGACTGACAACTCATGGGGCCCCTGGGCAATAGGGGATCATGGGGCCCCTGTATGCTTACCCAAACTCAAAAAAGCCTATGAAAAAAGGTACCAGGGGCATCTCATGGGGCCCCCTACTGACCCCGGGCCCTCAGGCAGTGCCCAAGTTTCCAAATGGTCAGTCCCTGATATGGAGTCATGCCAGCCTTAATTTTTCTGCTTGACCATCCAAACCTGCAACAAAATCTCACGGTGTGTAGCCAAGGCTAGACAGATCTATATTGGATCCATGCAACCCAATTAATAGCATTGGATACGAATGATACTTTCCACCATCACACAAGGCATGCAATCCATTCTACAGGGTACTATGGCACCTGGGAATGTCACAACTAAATAAATCTTTTATAAAAGAAAGAAAGAAAAAGAAAAAAAAAAAAACAAAAAAAAAACACTGCAGAATTTTATGGTCTGGCTGTGCAAGGAGATGGCAGAAAATTCTAAGTTCCAGTAAAAAGTTAAAGTAGTGCTGAAGTCATTCCTCATGACCAAGCTCTGTGGGCGGAGTGAAACACATTGGGGGGTGTGGCCTGGTTGGAGCCCAGGCTGAGGCTGTCATACATCTTCTTATGGGATTTTGCAGAGATGTGCGACTTCCAGGACTTTTCCCTTTTCCATTAGAACTGAAGGTCGTTTTTTTTTTTCATTTTGAATAACCCCTGCCCATATTTTTTTTTTCAATCTCTGTTCCATTGGGGAAATTTCCCTTCACTTCCTGTCCCACAGCTAAATCAGGAAGTGAGAGGAAATCCAACCAAAGCAGTTGTCACCAGAACTAGGGACACCACTGGAAGACTTGCCCTCTATTCTGTTCTGGGACAAACAAAAATTTGGGATTTTTTTTATCAATTTCAGCAATAAATGGTCACCAGTACCAATACAAGGTGATAAAAAAAAGCGTCGGGACTAGTTTTGTAACACGCCAACAGATGGCAGCACAAGGCTGCCCGCGCTGTCACAGGGAGCACTGACCTTTATAAGTCCAAGTGCCAAAAGACATCGTCTGTCGGGAGCTGTACAACTGGTGCCATTCTGACCACGTGCGTTACCAGGTCTCCTTTTTCATCATAGACTGAAAGTTAGAACAAAGAGCAAACGTGAAATTCTGCGTCAAAACCAGGATCTTTGAGCTGGACCTCCATCTTCGGGAAGAGGGCATTTTTTGGGGGTTGAGCTCATTGAAGGTGTTCCTGATCTCTCATCGTCATCCAGGAATGTTCCTTCGCTCTTAGTGAGCGCGCCACACAAAACACCTTGCACAACTCATTGCAGCATCGCCGTAAACTTGTCGAATCACGTCAGACTTGTCTGTGGCAGATTTGCCCAATTTCACATCCGCTCTTTGTTCTAACTTGCTGCCCATGATGCAATGGTAGACGTGGTAACGCACGTGGTCAGAATAGCACCAGTTGCACAGCTCCCGATGTACACAGGACAAATTCTGTTGGCACACTGACTTATGAAGGCCGGTGCTCCCTATGACTGTGCGTGCAGCCTTGTGCTGCCATCTGTTATGTTAGAAAACTAGTCTCAAAACTTTTTGATCCCACCTCATGGAGAGGGAAGAAGGAAGAAGGGATAAGAAGAAGGGGGAAGAAGGAAGAAGGGATAAGAAGGAAGAAGGGAAGAAGGATAAGAAGGGGAAGAAGGAAGAAGGGATAAGAAGAAGAAGAAGGGATAAGAAGGAAGAAGGGATAAGAAGGAAGAAGGGATAAGAAGGAAGGAAAGAAGGGATAAGAAGAAGCAGGAAGAAGGGATAAAGAAGGAAGAAGGGATAAGAAGAAGCAGGAAGAAGGAAGAAGGGATAAGAAGGGGGAAGAAGGGAAGAAGGAAGAAGGGATAAGAAGGAAGAAGGATAAGAAGGGATAAGAAGGGGGAAGAAAGAAGGGATAAGAAGGGAAAGAAGGAAGAAGGGATAAGAAGGGAAGAAGAAGGAAGAAGGGATAAGAAGGGATAAGAAGGATAAGAAGGGGGATAAGAAGGGATAAGAAGGAAGAAGGGATAAGAAGGGATAAGAAGGAAGAAGGGGGGAAGAAAGAAGGGGGAAGAAGGAAGAAGGGATAAGAAGGGGGAAAGAAGAAGGAAGAAGGGATAAGAAGGGGGAGGAAGAAGGAAGAAGGGATAAGAAGGGGGAAGCAGAAGAAGGAAGAAGGGATAAGAAGAAGGGATAAGAAGGGGGAAGAAGGAAGAAGGGATAAGAAGGGGGAAGAAGGAAGAAGGGATAAGAAGGGGGAAGAGGAAGAAGGGATAAGAAGGGGGAAGAAGGAAGAAGGGATAAGAAGGAAGAAGGAAGAAGGGATAAGAAGGGGGAAGAAGGATAGAAGGGGGAAGAAGGGATAAGAAGAAGGAAGAAGGGATAAGAAGAAGGAAGAAGGGATAAGAAGAAGGAAGAAGGGATAAGAAGAAGGATAAGAAGAAAGGAAGAAGGGATAAGAAGAAGGAAGAAGGGATAAGAAGAAGGAAGAAGGGATAAGAAGAAGGAAGAAGGGATAAGAAGAAGGGAAGAAGGGGGAAGGGATAAGAAGGGGGAAGAAGGAAGAAGGGATAGAAGAAGGAAGAAGGGATAAGAAGAAGGAAGAAGGGATAAGAAGAAGGAAGAAGGGGGAAGAAGGAAGAAGAAGAAGAAGGAAGAAGAAGAAGAGGAAGACGAAGTTTTGCCTTTAGTTACACTTTAAAGCTGAACTCCATATACATATAAAAATAGAATATCATCCACTAATTGGTTTGATTAAAATATAATATAATAATTTAATATATATATAAAAATATAACTTAATATATATAGATTTTATTTTTTTTATTTTATTTTTTTTCCCATATATATTTAGATTTACATGAGCAAGAACTTGTTCCGGAATGGGTCTGATATCCCCCTCCGGTACTGCTCTGTACAGCGGTTGTGCCCTTTAATAGATGCTGCACAGTTCAGATTACCCCAATCTGTTCAACAATTATAGGTACTTTTATACTTTGCAAAAATAATTTAGCAGGTAAGTTTCATCAGACCAACTGTATGCAAGTCCCCAAATAAAAAACCTTTTTTAGGGGGGTAATGTGTAAATTGGGGCAAAATCAACCATTGCCCAGCTATTCTCTCTCCAGGCATTATTTTCAATGGATTTGCATTTGTAAACCGAAAATCACGTTAACCGAAAATCACGTTAACCGAGGTACGCCTGTACCCATTTACTATGCTGGTCAGCTCCATTTGTTGGCCATAGTTCAGTATTTACCCGAAGCACACTCTTTATAAAATGAAGACCTTCGACCTGTAGAGGAAATAGCCTGGGAAAAAAACATTTAGATTTTTCCCTGCAGTTTCACTAGAAAAATAATTATGATTTTTTTGTTATCTACACACCCCAAGACTGAATGCTCAGAACAACCAGAGATTTGCAAGTATGTATGCAAGTCCCCAAATAAAAAACCTTTTTTAGGGGGGTAATGTGTAAATTGGGGCAAAATCAACCATTGCCCAGCTATTCTCTCTCCAGGTTGAATGTTATTCATCAAATAGCAGGAACAAGGAATATACTGCATTTTGGCCACTATATGGGGCTGATGATCATAGGAAATAAATACAGGCATACCTCGGTTTACGAATTTAACTCATTCTCCGGGATGTTTCGGATTGTGAAAAATTTGTAAACTGAAGTACGGTTTCCCATAGGAATGCATTGAAAACCAATTCATCCGTTTTGGAGGTCAGAAAAAAAACAAAACAAAAAAAAAAAAACACACCTCCTTTATCTGTTCAAAGCTCTTTATACAGTGCACTTTAAAGGCATAAATACTGTACAGGGACATGATTAACAATTAATTCATAAATGCATTGAAAACTAATTCATTCATTCAAGAGGTCAGAAAAGTAAAAAAAAAAGTCTATTCAAAAAAAACTTTATAAGGTGCACTTTAAAATAAAAAGCCATAAATACTGTACAGGGACATGATTAAAAATGAATTAATAAATCCATTGAAAACCAATTAATCCATCCAGCAGTCAGAAAAAAAAGTAGTCTTTTTACTGTTCAAAACTCTTTAAAAATTGAACTTTAAAAAGGCATAAATACTGTACAGGGACATGATTAAAAAAAAAAAAAAATAATTGTAAATGCATTGAAAATCCAATTAATCCATTTGTATTGCGAAAAAAAAAAAAATTTGTAAACCGAGGCATTATTTTCAATGGATTTGCATTTGTAAACCAGAAATTACGTAAACCGAAAATCACGTTAACCGCACATCATGTTAACCGAGGTACGCCTGTACCCATTTACTATGCTGGTCAGCTCCATTTGTTGGCCATAGTTCAGTATTTACCCGAAGCACACTCTTTATAAAATGAAGACCTTCGACCTGTAGAGGAAATAGCCTGGGAAAAAAACATTTAGATTTTTCCCTGCAGTTTCACTAGAAAAATAATTATGATTTTTTTTGTTATCTACACACCCCAAGACTGAATGCTCAGAACAACCAGAGATTTGGCTTGATTTTTTTTTTTTTTTGATTTTTTTTTTTATTTATACACCCAAAGACTGAATACTTCTAGCAACCAGAGATTTGCTTTGACATTTTTGGCCAAAATTTAAATTAGCCGTTATAGACAACCCATGCCGTAGATACTATATTATACCTAAATCCTCCCCTAGATTATTTTACGGAACTTTTCAGCTGCAAGAGATTTGTGAACAAAAAAAAAAAAAAAAAAAAAAAAAAAAATTTAAAAATAATAAAGTGACATTCCCAAGAAAACACAGCATGCATCCTACAACACAGCTGTGCTCGGTCTGCAAGCAACTTGGTTGTTGTACTTCAATCCATATTTTTTTTTTTTTAATTTTAATTCCAGCTCTACAGATCATAAATATGTGGTTAGTAATAAGGGTCATGTAGATGCCTGGTATAAAACATGTATTAAAAATAGCCAACACATTTCAGGGGGAGCGATCTCTGCTCCGTTAGCTTCCTAGAAGGGCAGGGGAGATATCAGGGGTCTTTTAAACCCCTGATATCTCATTAAGAGAATCTGTCGCCACGAAACGCCTAAAAAAGGTAAGAGAATTTTTATTTTTTTTTTTAAAAAAAAAAAAAAAAAAAGTTTCACTCAACCACTTCACCCTTAAAAAAAAAAAAAAACCAAAAATTGTAAGCCCCATCCCTCACACATGTAGGCACGCATGGAAATGCTTGTCAGGGCGCCTACACATGTAAAAAAAAAAAAAAAAGGAACTACCACCACTTTATATTCTAGAATCTCCGCTTTCAGAAAATATACACTCACTGGGCACTTTATTAGATCCACCTTGCTAGTCCCGGGTTGGACCCCTTTTGCCTTTAGAACGGCCTTCATTCTTCATGGCATAGATTCCACAAGGTGTTGGAAACATTCCTCAGATTTTGGTCCATATTGACATGAGTTGCTGTTGCCTTTCTATCATCTGGAACCAGTCTGCCCATTTCTCCTCTGACCTCAACAAGGCATTTTCCTACACACAACTGCTGCTCACTGGATATTTTCACTTTTTTTGGACCATTCTCTGTAAACCCTAGAGATGGTTGTGTGTGGAAATCCCAGGAGATCAACAGTTTTTGAAATACTCAGACCAGCCCATCCGGCACCAACAACCATGACACGTTCAAAGTCACTTAAATCCTCTTTCTTCCCCATTCTGATGCTCTTTTCAACTTCAGCAAGTTGTCTTCACCACATCTAGATGCCTAAATGCATTGGGCTGCTGCCGTGTGATTGGCTGATTAGCAATTTGTGTTACCAAGCAATTGAACAGGTGGACCCAATAAAAGAGGGCCGATGAGTGTATATTGTTTGGGGGTGGTGTTTCTAATCTTCATCTTAAAAAGGGGCGGACTGACAACTCATTGGGGCCCCGGGCCAAAGGGGATCATGGGGCCCTGTGTATTCCCTTGCCCAAACTCAAAAAAAATAAAAAAAAAAAACCCCACAAAAAGAAAAAAAAAAAAAAAAACCCCAAAAAAACACAAAATACAAAACAAACAAAAAAAACAAACAAAAAAAAAACAAGTAGGATCCTTGCAGTGGTGACATGAACTGTATTCTCCTAAGTAGCGACTTTTGTAATTTTAAACCCTAAAAAAAAAAACTTTTATTTTTATTTAATTTTTTAATTTTATATTTTTTTGCTATTCCCCAGAAAATGCAAACAAGCGATTACGGTTGGTTCTACCTAAATTAAAAAGATAAAAATTTTTTCCTCCAAAACGTTGCAGAGAACCGAGCACAGCCGCGGCACAGACAGCTAGCACAAGGGCGGGCAGGGTTAAAAAACCAGGAAACCTCACCTGGTTTCGGAGCAGGTTAGTTTGCGCCACCAAATGGGCCTGTATTTTCCCCTGACACCACTGGGGCGCAGCCTTCTCAAGAAGCGACACCGGCTGCACATGTTGTCACCGAGGTGAGCACAAAGAGAGAAGAAGAAGAAGGGGACAGAAAACAGAAGACAGTTTTTAATTGTGACAATTACAAGGAAGCAGCAGCAGCAAATCAGCGTTAGGTCATCCTCTGTGGCATGCCAGAAGTGAGACACAAACAGGACTCCACACAGACGGGACCGGTACGCCGGAGACACCCCAACAAAACTGCAAAGAGTAACAAGAGCCATTAGTCACACCCGGGAAACATCTGAGCCTTCCGGACTCCGGCTTCGGAATGTGAAAAATATTTACACAATTGTAGAATTAAAAATTTGCAACATTTCAGCAACATGCAAAGAAATCACTTTCAAGGTCAAGAATACATGAGAAAAAAATAAAAGATTCCTCTTGGGATGGAAGAAAAAAAAAAAACACTGCAGCCTCTTCCCACAGAATAAATCAGTGTTACAAAGAAAAGTAAAAAAAAAAAAAAAAAAAAACATGATAAATTTATAAATATATATATATATAATATATATATAATATATATATAATATTATATTATATATATACATATACATACATACACCATACAATAACTAGCAGCTTTTATTATACATAAAACACATTTCAAAAAAAGGATTCGACTCAGTCGTACCAATACAATCACATACTGGCAAATTATTTCCATTTTAGATTTTTTTTTTTTTTTTTTACTTTATTAATTATATTATGTTTTTTTTTTTTATTGCAATTTGCACAACATGGCCCATGAAACATAGAAAAACCATGCAGAAAAAAACTTTATGCACATAAACAAAGTTCTAGAACAATGGTAATAACAGTTTCCCCAAAATTCTTTTTTTGTACATGAAGTAAAAAAGAAAAAAGAACCAATAAAAAAAAAATGTTTGTCAAACCAAAACCTCTCTGTGGCTTTTTTGAAATGTATGACAGTGCAAGACCATTCAAACTCGAATAGAAAAAAATATTAACATTCAATTCAATAAAAAAGAAAAATAAATTTATATTTTTTTAATTGAATGTAAAAAATTTTTCATTTTTTAGGTTATTCAAATATTATTAAGTTCAATAAAAAATATCAAAATTAATTGAAAAAAAAAAATCTGCAAAAAGGGGATAGAAAAACAAATAGCCACTCCACAATGTAAAAAAAATAAGGATGGTATTTTAGTTCTAAACTAACGACCCCAAAAAAATAAACCAAAAACATTCCTGCTAAAGGGTTGGGAAACAGCCCTCCTTTTTTTTAAGGGATTCTAAGAACCAAAAATCTGAAAGCTTGACCCAAAAACCAAAAAATTATAAAAGGACAACAGAAAATTGTACTGCCGAGAGTTCTGTAAAGAGCTAAACAATCCAAATTTTATGTACTAAAACTGGTTAAAAACACAAATGGTAACATAAAAACTCCGCTTCTAATTTTCAGCTTGATTTTTAAAAAGTGGTTGTAAAAGATCAAGGTTTTTTTTTTTACCTTCATACATGAAGGTAAAAAAAACCCAAAAAAAAAAAAAAAAAAAACTACAACCCTTCTGGTAACCCGATTCAAAAAATACAGTAATAAATCCAAAATTATAAACAAAAAGAACAAACTCAAAACTGTATTAAAATTGTGTTCTCCGAAACAAAGTTTTGTAAACATATCTTTGTGCCAACAAATGAATTATAAGTTATGGACACGCTTTTTATTTTGTAAAAAATAAAATAACAAAATTGTGAAAAAAAATAAAAGCACACACAAAAAAAACCAAAACAAAACACAACCCCCCAAAAAAAAAACCCAGAACCCCCCCAAAAAACAAACAACAAATAAAGCAAAAAAAAATTAAATTTTTAAAAATCCCCCCCCCCCCCCCCCCAAAAAAAAAAACAAATCCCCCCAAAAATTAATTACCCCCCTCAAAAAAAAAAAGGAACATACAAAAAAAAACCAAACAACACAAAACCCCCCCGGAAAAACTCAGAAACCCCCCACCACCCCCCAATAAAACATCAAAATTAAAGCCAAAATAAAAAAAAAAACCCAAAAAAAATTACTACCTTCCCCCAAAAAAACAAAATAAAACTAAAATAAAATACCCCAAAAATATACCCCACCTCACCCCAAAAAAAAAAAAAATAAAACAAACCGACCCCACCCCCATCAAAAAAAAATTACTCCCCCCCCCCCCCAAAAAAAAAAAAAAAGCACAACCCTCCAAAAAAAAAAAAACCAAAAACCCCCCCAAAAAACAAACAAAATAAAGCAAAAAAAAAAAAAAAATTTTATTAAAAAAAAAAAAAAAATATAATAACTCCCCCCCCCCAAACAACACAAATAAAACAAAAAAATAAACCCCCAAAAAAAATAACTCCCCCCCCCCCCCCAAAAAAAAAAATCAAGAACAAAAAAAAACCCTTTAGGGGCACTATATACTAAATACTGTATAGCCAAGCCTTGACCAAAAGTGCTCATGTACCTCAATCAATAATAATAAATTAAATGGTTTTTAATGATTAAAAGCGGTCATTTTGCGGCATACTATTTTCATCACATTTGGTGGAGTGGAATATAGGAGGACTAAATCGAAAACCATTCTATGGTGGAGAGAACTTTTTTGGAACACAGGAATTTAGGAACACTTGTATTCTCTTTTTTTGATAGATGTGTTATTTAATTTATTATTATAATTCATTGGGGGGTCTAAGCTGCACTCATTGGACAAGCCTTCAATTCATTTGTACAGAATGATGCGCTAGTTTGGGCCTTTTTTAATGTACGAAGCATCCTGAAATTTTATGCAATTTGTGGGGGCGGGGGGAAACAACGAAGGGTATTTCCAAATGGATTCAGATCCATTTCATTTTTTTTTTTTCATTAACATATTCACACCATTCTAGGAAAAAAAAAACAAAAAAAACAAAAACAAAAAAAAAAAACAACAACAAAACACCTTACCTTGGCAATTTTAGTTTTCATCCTTCTTTTTTTCGCATTTTGTAGGGATTCAAAGTGATGTCTTGCACTGTCGTAGTCCACAAGTTTCCTTCCCCGCTTTGCAATCCCGTGACTGAAATGATACAAATTTTAAAAAATTTACCGAATTTCCTGCCCTTTTTTAGTTATTTAAATATTGGTCACACCCCCCAGGACAATTTCTATGATCCTGTGGATAAAAATTAAAAAAATAAAAAAAAATAGGAAGAGGATAAAAGTGTCTGGACTTGAAAGCTGGTTAAAAAAAAAACAAATCTATAATATAAAAAAAAAAACTCAAAATGTAAAAAAAAAAAAAACTTTTGTGAAAAAAAAATTATAAATAATAATTTTTGGTTAAACTAATTTGGTTTTTTTTTTTTATACTAAAAAGCTAACTGAATAACTTTTGGCCAAGATTTATGAAAAAAGATTTGCTAAATTTTATAAGAAAAACACTTTTTTTCAAAATTTTTGGACTTTCATTTATATAGTGAAGAAGAGCACTGAAAGCTGAAGATTGGCCTGGACAGGAAGGGGGTAAAAGTGTCTGGACTTGAAGTGGTTAAAAAAAAAAATATAAGTATTAAAAAAAAAAAAAAGTAAAATGTAAAATTTTTTTTTAAAAAAAATATAATTTTTGGTTAAACAAATTTGGGTTATTTTTTTTATACTAAAAAGCTAACTGAATACTTTTTTTCCAAATTTTTTGGACTTTCAGTGCTTTTTTTCACTATATAAATGAAAGCCGAAAATTGGCCTGGACAGGAAGGGGGTAAAAGTGTCTGGACTTGAAGTGGTTAAAAAAAACAAATATAAATAATATTAAAAAAAAAATGTAAAAATGTAAAAAACCATTTTGAAAAATTATAAATTTTTGGTTAAACTAATTTGGGTTATTTTTTTTTTTTATACGAAAAAGATAAATGAATAACGTTTGGCCAAGATTTATAAAATGTTGCAAATAAATCTTTTTTCATAAGAAAAAACACTTTTTTTCAAAATTTTTGGACTTTCATTTATATAGTGAAAAAAAAAAAAGCACTGAAAGCTGAAAACTTGACAGGAAGGGGGTGAAAGTGTCCGGACTGGAAGGGGGGGGGGGGGAAGTGTCCGGACTGGAAGGGGGGGGGGGGGGGGGGGGGAAGTGTCCGGACTGGAAAGGGGGGGGGGGGGAAGTGTCCGGGACTGGAAGGGGGGGGGGGGGGGGGGGGGGGGGGTGAAGTGTCCGGACTGGAAGTGGTTAAGGAATATTTTTTATTGTGAAAAACAACAAGCAGTCCTGGAAATGATGGTTTGGCCCCCACAGAGCCCTGATCTCAGCATGGTGAAGTCTATCAGGGAATACAAGGAGACAGAAGGACTGGAGGTTGCCGACATCCACAGAAGATCTGGGCTTCATTCCTCAAGATGTTTGGGGCAACCTACCTGCTGAGATCCTTCAAAAACTGCAAGTCTACCTAGAAGAACTGATGGCTGGTTTGAAGGCAATAGGAAGGTCCAGCCAAATATGGATTTGGACTTCTCTTCTGTTCACTTACCTTCCAGTCTGTTAATTCATAAAAAATAATCTATGAACACCTCTATTTCTAAACTGCCTAAAACTTTTGCACAGATCTATACCACCATCATCTTCAGAAAATATGTACAAAGGAATTTTTTTACATTTCCTTCCAATTTTGACCGACTCGTCCAACCACATACCAGAAAACAGGATGGTTCTCATAAAGGTGTGTCCACAAATCTTTGATTTTTTTTTTTTTTTTAAACCAACTTCATAATATTAGAGATTACTCAGCAGGTGGAAACCCATAAACTTCATTTCACAAATACTGCAATGTATGAATCCACATTCCTGACCAGAGACTAGGAGGAAAGGACAAAAAATATGTCTGGTAACTTACCTGACCCTCAAGCATCATCCTCATCCGTTAAAATGAACTCCATAACCCGGCACATCGATGACTCTATCGGCTCAACCCCAAAGCGTTCTTAATTGACCTTCAGAATCTATATTTATGTTAAGTCCTCCTGCACACGGGACGTTTTTTAACGACAGCGGTATTTTTGGCTTTTGGCATTATGTTTTTCTACAGCCAGTAACCCCCCTAGCATGTTTCTCCTATATGTCCATCCCCGGCGTGTTATCCTGTGTGTCCATCCCCGGCGTGTTATCCTATGTGTCCATCCCCGGCGTGTTATCCTATGTGTCCATCCCCGGCGTGTTATCCTGTGTGTCCATCCCCGGCGTGTTATTCCTATGTGTCCATCCCCGGCGTGTTATCCTATGTGTCCATCCCCCCGGCGTGTTATCCTATGTGTCCATCCCCAGCATGTTATCCTATGTGTCCATCCCCGGCGTGTTATCCTATGTGTCCATCCCCGGCGTGTTATCCTATGTATCCATCCCCAGCATGTTATCCTGTGTGTCCATCCCCGGCGTGTTATCCTATGCGTCCATCCCCGGCGTGTTATCCTATGTGTCCATCCCCGGGCGTGTTATCCTGTGCGTCCATCCCCGGCGTGTTATCCTATGTGTCCATCCCCGGCGTGTTTATCCTAAAATCCCGGGTGTTTAATAATGTGTGTCGGCGTGTTATATCCTGTGTGTTCCTATGTGTCCATCCCCGGCGTGTTATCCTATGTGTCCATCCCCGGCGCGTGTTATCCTGTGCGTCCCATCCCCGGCGTGTTATCCTGTGTGTCCATCCCGGCGTGTAATCCTATGTGTCCCCGGCATAAAAAAAAAAAAAAGACCGCAAATGCAGCAAAACACAATATACCCCAGCGTTTTTGGACCTTCTTTGACCAAACAAAATAATATGTTCGGTAAAAAAAAAAAAAAAAGACGACGACATTTTTTATATGTTTGGTGAAAAAAAGCCCAGCAAAACACGAAAAACGTGGCAAAACATGTCATACCAGTGTTTGTGGACTTTTGACCAAAAAAAAAAAAATATATATATTTTTGGTAAAAAAAAAAAAAAAAAAACCCTAAAAAAGACCGCAAATGCGGCAAAACACAATATACCAGCGTTTTTGGACCTTTTTTGACCAAACAAAATAATATATGTTTGGTAAAAAAAAAAAAACTAAAAACAGCAAACGCGAAAAACTCGGCAAAAAAACACAGCATGCCAGCGTTTTTGGACCTTTTTTGACACAAAAAAACCCTATATTTTTGGTAAAAAAACACTTAAAAAAACCGCAAACGTGAAAAATGCGGCAAAACACTTTATACCATCGTTTTTGGACCTTTTTTGACCAAAAAAAATTTTTTTTTGGTAAAAAAAAAAAAAAACAAACAAAAAAAAAAAACCCCACACGCAAAACGCGAACACCCCCCCCCCCCCCCCCCCCAAAAAAAAGCAGCAAGACACAAATACGAAAAATGCTAAAAAAAAACACAACTCACAGTTTTAACATGACTACACAGCTAAAGTTACCAGCGGTACTAAAACGCTCCGTGTGTATGGAGCCTAACAGAAATGTAACAATACTGTCTGCCAGTCTAATACAATGTATGCAACATTTAGCTAAAAGGTATTGAAAGACTAACTGGGGTTTTTTTTTTTTTGTTTTTTGTTTTTAAAAACGTCAGCTTTTTGTTTTGTTTTCTTATCTACAGCAAGTCTCAATAAAGAGATTTTCCTTTACTTCCTGTCCCGGAAAAGCAACAGGAAATCTCTAATCACTGCAAAATGAGGGCGAAATCCCCATTTAGACGGCCATCACCAAAACAGGTGTACCCACTGAAAGATTTCGCCTCATCTCCTGTTCTGGTGACAACTGTAAAATTTTGGATTTTTCTAAGGTCCCCATCTCAGAAAACCACACACACTAGGGCCAACTGACAAGAGCCAATTAACCTACGAGTAGGTTTTTGGAGTTGTCGAGGGGAGCAGGGTGCCTAGAGGAAACCAACCCAAGCGCCGGGAGAACATGCACGCTCCATGCAGGTAGTGTCCTGGTTAGGATTCGAACCAAGGGCTGTAATGCTGCAGGGCATAAAAGTGCTAAGCACTAGGCCACTGCACTGCAATAAAGGCCTCGTATCAGGAAATGGCCAGCATACCCTAAAAATTGAATGACGTTTTCCACATTTTTGTGACTACTTTCTGCAATAATTGCGTGAGTTTATAATGGTGGTGTGATGGCCATTTCTTGATATGAGCTACAGCTACACCATCATGTCACCGCGCACCCCTCCAAGGTGGCAACCAGGGTGTGCAACTGGATAGGTTGAACGGTGTTCAAGTCATAAAGACCTCACTGGGTTGTAATTCATTAACATCCAACCAGAAGTTTTGGCAAGAAATCAAACACTTTAAAAAAAAGACACTTGGGCATTAGGGGGCATCGCCATCCTAAAGCCTTCACCACCCATCGCCATCCTAAAGCCTTCACCACCCATCGCCATCCTAAAGCCTTCACCATCCATCGCCATCCTATAGCCTTCACCATCCATCGCCATCCTATATCCCTCACCATCCATCGCCATCCTATATCCCTCACCATCCATCGCCATCCTATAGCCCTCACCATCCATCGCCATCCTATAGCCTTCACCATCCTATAGCCTTCACCATCCTATAGCCTTCACCATCCTATAGCCTTCACCATCCTATAGCCTTCACCATCCTATAGCCTTCACCATCCTATAGCCTTCACCATCCATCGCCATCCTATAGCCTTTACCATCCATCTCCATCCTATAGCCTTCACCATCCATCACCATCCTATAGCCATCCCGATCCTATAGCCTTCACCTTCCATCACCATCCTATAGCCTTCACCATCCATCACCATCCTATAGTCTTCACCATCCATCACCATCCTATAGTCTTCACCATCCATCCCCATCCTATAGCCTTCACCATCCATCACCATCCTATAGCCTTCACCATCCATCACCATCCTATAGCCTTCACCATCCATCACCATCCTATCCTATAGCCTTCACCATCCATCACCATCCTATAGCCATCCCCATCCTATAGCCTTCACCTTCCATCACCATCCTATAGCCTTCACCATCCATCACCATCCTATAGCCTTCACCATCCATCATCATCCTATAGCCTTCACCATCCATCATCATCCTATAGCCATCCCCATCCTATAGCCTTCACATCCATCACCATCCTATAACAACCAGAACCTAGGAATTCAAATCCAATACCGTTGAGGCTGGCTAGAGTAACAAATCACCTTAATATCTGGAAACTGGCCGAGGTAGGTGTCCATGGTCAGGAGGGCCTGGTCTACCAACTTCTGATGGTAATCTGTCCACAAAAGGTCATTATTCTGTTAGGGAAAAAAAAAAAAAAGTCGTTATTGAAATAAAAAAAGTAGGATGTTGTATAAACTTTATAACTAAAAGTTCAAAAATTAGCTATTTCTCATCATGTTCTGGGGGGTGGGGAGATGACCAAGTTTTTAACTTTCACCTCGATGGAGGACAGCGATTAATTACTTTTAGCTTTTTATTACTAATCTATATATTTTTTATAGCACTTTTCTCCTGGGGGCCTCCAGCACTTTAGCTACCGATGGAGCAGGTGATGAGGCCGCCATCTTGGATGTGCTCAGTAGAAAATCACACAAGAGCCAATTTAGAGACTAGCCAATGAACCTACCAGCATGTCTTTGGAGTGTGGGAGGAAGCCAACACAATCACAGGCTGGAAATTCAAACTCCATGTAGATGATGTCCTGAACAGGACTTGAACCGAAGACCTTGCTATAGACTTCCAAGCAATACGGAGTTTGATGATCTCTGCAAATTTTTCTATTTTCTGAGCGTTATTTTAAATTTTAGATGGGCACAAGGACCACCGACGGCTATATTCTGGGAACCATAGCCTACTTTGGTCAAGAAGAAGCGGACAAGTTCCAGGAAACGTTAGAACTTGAGTTTTCACCAGTTCTATACATGTCAAAAAAGGTCATCTTGTAGCTGAATATCATGAATTAAGTCTAACAAGGTGCCTGTCTTCTCATTGACATATCGCGGTTATTCGCATAACAGATTTATTATGCTCCAGGAAGAGAACTTCCAGAGAGCTCCTGTGCTGATCACTGTCGTCTCAGTTCCTTAAAGAGTAGAGTTGCTACAACTGCTATGCCCTCCCTTCCCCATCTGCCCATTCACAGAAGCCTTTGTGAACGCGTTTACAACATTTCGATAAAAGGCTTCTTATCGTAATTTGTAAAGTGTTACTAAACCCAGGACCCTGCATTCGCTATATCCGCTCTCCCCGGACCCCGCATTCGCTATATCCGCTCTCCCCCGGACCCCGCATTCGCTATATCTGCTCTCCCCGGACCCCGCATTCGCTATATCCCGCTCTCCCGGGACCCCCGCATTCCTTTTCATATATTGGTCCCCGGACCCCGCATTCACTATATCGGTCTCCCCGGACCCCGCATTCACTATATACGGTCTCCCCGGACCCCGCATTCACTATATCCGCTCTCCCCGGACCCCGCATTCACTATATCCGCTCTCCCCGGACCCCGCATTCACTATATCCGCTCTCCCCGGACCCCGCATTCACTATATCCGCTCTCCCCGGACCCCGCATTCACTATATCCGCTCTCCCCGGACCCGCATTCACTATATCCGCTCTCCCGGACATGCATTCACTATATCCGCTCTCCCCGGACCCTGCATTCACTATATCCGCTCTCCCCGATCCTTGCATTCACTATATCTGGTCTCCCCGATCCCTGCATATATCTGGTCTCCCCGATCCCTGCATTCACTATATCCGGTCTCCCCGGACCCTGCATTCACTATATCTGGTCTCCCACAGTACACAGAAATGCTATTTTAGTAAATATAAACCGCGTAATACCTTTTCTTATCAGCAGTATATAGCAGCCTTGTGACATCTATCAGTGTCCAGCTGAGCACTGGTTAAAGCTTGTAGGAGTTAGTTTTAATTCTGTTCTGACTGTCCTATGAGGCTGCATAACCCCTGACCTTCTGTCTGGACAGTGCTGACAGGCCCTGTGCTGATCACATGCACCCTCCTAAAACCCCCCCCCCCCCAAAAAACTCTAGCAATGCACACCAAACTGAGCATGTGCAGCTTGCTACAAGGCTCTCTATCAGCAGATTGGATTGGGGACTGTAGAAGGGAAGGATCAGAGAAGACAGGATCAAACAATCTTTTTACACAATGAAGAGGATTAACCCCTTAGGTTCCACATTGAGTATAACAAGCATGCTTTACTGCATCTACAGACTGATTGTACTGTTGTGCATTTAGTAACACTGATATCTGTTATCAATAAATGTATATGATGTTCGATAGTGTTTTCTGTGCTGAAAAGAAAGTCCGATTTCTGTATAATAATTGGGCCCTAAAACTGAGACAGTGTTGGAATCAACCAGCAACCAACCAACCATTCACCTTCATTTTGTAAGGAAAAAAACCAAAGCTGGAATCTGTAGGCCTTGGACCCCATTGCCCTTGTTACAGGATTCCAGGAACCCAGCACCAGACGATGGAGCCTTACCTCTGCCAGCTTGTTGGTATCGTCTCTGCCAGGCCATTCGGGCTCATAGACTTCTTGCAGACACTCGGACAGCTTTTTGGAAGCTTCGTGCATAGCTACAAGAACATAGAGCAGAAGAAATGGTCAGAATTGGTGAAAACAGAAGGAAATGGTGTCCCAGTTGGGTCACGGGGGAGAAATGTGACAGACCCAACCTGGACAGGGTCTTTTGGAGGGGACTGCAGGCTAGTCTCTTGCCTACTTGCCATGGGCCCTGGAATCAGCTCTATTCTTTGGAAGGTCGGCGCCTGGGGGGACCTTTTGGAGTAGTTTTTACTTTGGATTCAAGTCCATGTCTCCCCGAACCTCACAGACTGAGAACTGGAGAACCAGGATACAGATTTGGGGTCTCTGTGCCCAAACCAGCGTTGGCTGCTTTAAGCCCGTTCCTAGACTCAGTCTCAGACTAAGCAGACATTAAAAATAATCAGCTCAAAACAAACTGATGCTGAGGTCTCTTTATTAAGGTGTTTGGTCCTCCTGGAGGTTCCTACATGATGGGATTGGTCTGGCGTTCACTTTACCTAGTTACATAACCAGTGAGTAGAAGGCCAACCCCTAGTCCCCTCCAAAAGCCCCTGTCCCAGTTGGGTCTGTCAAACAGAAAAATATAAAATCTCCCGGAGGAGCAAGATAACCTCATTTCACTTTCATAATTGGACTGATCGGGAGGGATAAGTCATGAATTTCCATTGATGGAGTGCACTTGTTGGTGAGGGAACACCCTGGACACCTTGGCTGCCATTGTGCTTTATCAAAATTGTAAAATTAGGAACTGCAGAATATCGGGGGTGCCGTGAAGAGGATCTGCAGCTTACGCATGTATTTGCATTTTCTCCTCTGGTGTCAAGCGTTCCTTCTGTTTTCTTGGTGAGCCACTAGGACTGAGGATGAGGGGAAATACAGAAATTTGAGGGGGGGGGGGGGGGGGGAGATGTCCCACGGTGACACCCATGCAGTTGACAAATGTCTAAGAGGGGATTTTCCTCACTTTGGAAAAGTCTGTGCGTTTTCTATTGGTTCACCAAGACTGAAAATGCATGGAAATCTCCACTTCCTTAAACTGAACCTCTCCAAAACTGAGTTTCTTGTCTTCCCCCCAGCCCGGAGACCACCCCCCATTGACTTCTCCATCACATCCAACAACGCCAATATCAAACCCGCCCCGCAGGCCAGAGTACTTGGTGTCATTCTGGACTCCAACCTATCCTTCCAGCCCCAAGTCCAATCTTTAACAAACTCGTGCGACTCCACCTCCGCAACATCGCCAAAATCCTCACGTTCCTAACCCCAGAAACCACTAAACAGCTCATCCACTCCCTCATCATATCACGACTCGACTACTGCAACTCCCTCCTCACCGGCCTGCCTCGCCGCTGGCTATCCCCGCTTCAGTCCATCCTGAACACGGCTGCCAGACTCATTCACCTTTCCAACCGCTCCGCCTCCACCACCCCCCTCTGCCAATCCCTCCACTGGCTTCCGATTGCGCAACGGATCAAATTCAAAATCCTAACACTGACGTACAAAGCTGTCCACCATACTGCCCCGAACTACATCACTGACCTAATATCCAAGTACCACCCAACACGCACACTCCGCTCCTCACAAGACCTCCTTCTCTCTAGTTCCCTGGTCTCCTCCTCCCATGCCCGCCTCCAGGACTTCTCCAGGGTGTCACCCATCCTCTGGAACTCCCGGCCCCAACCCATCAGATTATCACCTACTCTCCTCTCCTTTAGGCGCACCCTGAAAACCCATCTCTTCAGGGAAGCCTACCCCACCCCCTGCTAACTTGCCGACCTCCTCCACTCTTCCTACCACTCCATCCCCCACAGCTATCTCCTCCTGTACCACCATCCCCTCCCTCCTAGATTGTAAGCTCGAAAGGAGCAGGGCCCTCGATCCCCTCATGTTTTGCATTGTATTGTTGTTGTTCCGTCGCGTTCTGTCCCCTTTGTAATGTACAGCGCTGAGCGAACTATTGGCGCTTTATAAATACTGTATAATAATAATAATAATAGTCACACATACAACGTTAAACCATCCCTTATGGAATGAAATAAATAAAAATCAGCTTTAGATTTTCCCTCCCAGGGGGCCTATACTCACTTTCCTTGGTTCCCAAATCACTCCCCACCGCCACTCGAGATATGGACATCTTCCCTGGCCCCATGTGACAGCACTCTGACAATCGTGGGGCACCTAGTAAGGTCACACGGGAGTACGGACAGGAGTCACATGCTTGCCCAATGGAGCTTCGTCCAAGTCCAACCAGAACCTTGCTGTTATTTTCTTGCCATCTGAGTAATTCTGTCTTGCGAAGTGAGGAGATCCAAGTGGCAACAGACCATAAAAACCTGATGTCCAAATACAAGTGCCCACAATGCTCCTGGTCACAAGGGACCATGTGAACTGAGCACTGAGCTACAAAGGCTTTAGGTTACATAAGAAAACGTTAGAGATTTAGGTTACAATATTAATGGCAAGAGTTACTTTTCCTTTTAAAAGAAGAATGTGATTTGGCAACATTGGCAGAAGCCCAACTAATCGCCGTAAGTCCCCTTCCACATGGGGCAGACTCCGCACCGATCAGCAGCGGGATCCGTTCACAGATCCCCTGCTGATCAGAGCAGGCGGATGACAGAGAGGCGACACAGACAGAGCCATCTCTGCTCTATGGTCGGCTGCGTGCAAATGGACTCTGCTGTCTGTTTACACAGGACTACCCTCTGATCTGCCTGAACAGAATATGACAGAACCCCCTTCTGGGGTTTTTTTTTTTTTTGAGCAGACCAGATTGGACCTGGAAGTAGACAGGGGTCAATATTTTACCTCCGCTGTCTGTAGGGGTAAATGGACCTTCTGTTCTGATCCACCTGAAAAACCTGACAGGCAGACCTGATCCGTCCCGCCATGTGAAAAGGCCTAAAAGCATCTCATCTGTTTTTGCAATGGATTAACCTATACAACTGACTTAAAGCGTAACTCCACTTTTGTTGAGAAAAAAAAAAATCCTCCCCCCTGGGTGATCTATGCACATTGCAGGGATTTAAAAAAAAAACAAAAAAAAAAAAAAAAACTTTATTGCAGAGTTCTGCCTTTTGTTATTCTGAAGAGAGAGCTGTTTGTCTTTTTCCATGTGCAGAGTCATCTGTATGTGAGTGGTTTTATAATTACCAATCAGCTGCTGCAACTACAGGGCTCTGAGGAAAGTGGCAGGGTCTGCATCTCTTTTCACGATTTCCCTTTGGGAGTATCTCACCAAAAATGGAAGAAAAAAAAAAATCCCTTGAAGACCACCACTGAACACTGAAGACCAGTGACATCACCGGTAATGCAGCCTATGCTTTCACTAGAGACTGGTGACATCACTGAGAAAACAGCCTATCCATTCCCCCCCCCCCCCCCCCCCCCCCCCCCCCCCCCCCCCCCCCCGCCCCCCCCCCCCCCCCCACTGGAGGCCGGTGACATCATTGAGAATGCAGCCTATCCATTCACAAGAAAGCGGTGACATCACTGAGAATATTGCCTATCCATTCGCTAGAGACCAGTGACATCATCGAGAAAGCAGCCTATCCATTAACTAGAAACCAATGACCTCACCAAGAATGCAGCTTATTCATTCACTAGAGACTGGTGACATCGCTAATGCAGCCTATCCATTCACTGGAGGCCAGTGACATCACTGAGAAAGCAGCCTATCCATTCGCTAGAGACTGGTGACATCACTGAGAAAGCAGCCTATCCATTCGCTAGAGACTGGTGACATCATGGAGAAAGCAGCTATCCACTAATGAAAAACTAATGACACCACCAAGAATGCAGCCTATCCATTCACTAGAGAGCGGTGACATTGCTGAGAATGCAGCCTATCCATTCACTAGGGAGCGGTGATATCACTGAGAATGCAGCCTATCCATTCACTACAGACCGGTGACATCACTGAGAAAGTAGCCTATCCATTCACTAAAGAGTGGTGACATCACCGAGAAAGCAGCCTGTTATCTAGAAACCAATGACATCACTGAGAATGCAGCCTATCCATTTACTAGAGAGCAATGACATCACTGAGAATGCAGCCTATCCATTCACTAGAGGGCAATGACATCACTGAGAATGCAGCCTATCCATTCACTAGAGAGCAATGACATCACTGAGAGATGCAGCCTATCCATTCACTAGAGAGCAATGACATCACTGAGAATGCAGCCTATCCATTCACTAGAGAGCAATGACATCACTGAGAATGCAGCCTATCCATTCACTAGAGAGCGGTGACATCACTGAGAATGCAGCCTATCCATTCACTAGAGAGCGGTGACATCACTGAGAATGCAGCCTATCCATTCACTAGAGAGCGGTGACATCACTGAGAATGCAGCCTATCCATTCACTAGAGAGCAATGACATCACTGAGAATGCAGCCTACCCATTCACTAGAGAGCGGTGACATCACTGAGAATGCAGCCTATCCATTCACTAGAGACCGGTGACATCACTGAGAATGCAGCCTATCCATTCACTAGAGAGCAATGACATCACTGAGAATGCAGCCTACCCATTCCACTAGAGAGCAGTGACATCACTAGGATGCAGCCTTTCCAATAACTAAAACTTACTGGCAGCAATGACATCATGAGAATTAAAAATGAGACATTTTTGATATTTCTCTACGGACAAGGACCAGCCTTTTCTCTTACCTTTTACAGAAGGACAAGGACCACAGAAGCCAGGTACGTCCTGAGGTCCTTCTGAAGTTTACTGCCTTCTGTCTGTGTTAAAGAAAAAAAAAAGAAAAAAACACATCAGTTATGCTCAGAAAGTGGTCTCTTTTTTTTGGGGTGAACCAATTTACAAGCCTCTGAAGTATTTCAGCTTCTCCATCCAAAGTTCTGGAATAAACGAATCAGCCGTGCATGCCGAAAGCCTGATCTCTAAGACAGCCGTCCAGGAAAAGGAAACCTAAATCTAAGGCAACTCCTGTCAGGGAACACAACATAACATACCCTACCTACCTCCACAATTACTTCACACTTCTTAAAAGTACAAGTGCCTCAAAAAAAAAAACACAAAAAAAAAAAAAAAACCACAACAAAGAACAAGCAAAAAAAAAAACAATTAAAAAAAAAAAAAAAAAAAAAAAAAAAAAAAACAAAAAAATAAAAACAAAACAAAAAAAAACGCCCCCAACAGTATCCACAGTTCATGTAGAACTGCATACTTCAGATCAACTCTAGGAGAACCAGTCACTGAGTCTGATGGTGGTCAATTCATCACATCCTTGAGGAATGGGAATTTCTCAACACCAAACACCAAGGATGTGATGAATAAAGAATAGAAAGAATAACTATCATACAAAACAACAAAAGTCTTTAAGTAGACTTAAAAATGCATCTAAATACAAGGCTTTTTTTAAATAAAGTTCTTGGATGGTGTGTGAAAGGATTAGAACCCCTCTTAGGTATTTTTGCCATGTTCCCAGGGTGCAAATTCACTCTCTATCCCATGGTGACCATTGTCCCTTGTATTGGAAGTAAAGAGAAAATCAGAAATTGAGCATGTCACTTGAACAGGGTTAGAAGGGAATCTTCCAGCAGGGATGCTTGATCCAGGGACAACTGCCTAGGTACCAGAATCTACATTAAAGCCCAACTCTGGAAGAATGTCAAATTATCCGTTGCAGTGGGGCTGTGCCTGCGCTCCTAGGGCTAATGGCTTGGTTTGAGATAGGAGAGGAGAAACTTACCTGAGCCTCTACTCTCCCGGCAGATGGTGCTCCCCCATGCTCCAGCGGTGGTCTGTCCCTCAGCCTCAAGTCCAATGTAGGGCTGTAGACCCTACCTTGGTCTTGAGAATCTCAGGACCTTAGACTGCTGGAGGGTGGGGGGAGAAGACATCAATGTCCAGACAGAAGTCTTCTCTGCCCCTCCTCTTGTTCAAATGTCTACCTTTTATCTCCTGACAGACTGAATCTGTAGCCTCTCTGCACATGCTCAGTTTAGCGTGTATTGCTAGAGTTTTTTTTTCTTCTTGGGAGAGTGCATATGATCAGCACTGTACAGAAAGAGGACAGGGGTCCTGCATCCTCCTAGAGCAGAAATAAAACTCCTTCTACAAGCTTTAACCAGTGCTCCAGTGAACGCAGGGTCCGGGGAGGCGGATCCAGTGAACGCAGGGTCCGGGGAGAGCGGATCCAGTGAACGCAGGGTCCGGGGAGAGCGGATCTAGTGAACGCAGGGTCCGGGGAGAGCGGATCTAGTGAACGCAGGGTCCGGGGAGAGCGGATCTAGTGAACGCAGGGTCCGGGGAGAGCGGATCCAGTGAACGCAGAGTCCGGGGAGAGCGGATCTAGTGAACGCAGGGTCCGGGGAGAGCGGATACAGTGAACGCAGGGTCCGGGGAGAGCGGATACAGTGAACGCAGGGTCCGGGGAGAGCGGATCAGTGAACGCAGGGTCCGGGGAGAGCGGATACAGTGAGAACGCAGGGTCCGGGTGAGCAGGGTCCGGATACAGTGAACGCAGGGTCCGGGGAGACCGGATACAGTGAACGCAGGGTCCGGGGAGACCGGATACAGTGAACGCAGGGTCCGGGGAGACCGGATACAGTGAACGCAGGGTCCGGGGAGACCGGATACAGTGAACGCAGGGTCCGGGGAGACCGGTACCGTGAACGCAGGGTCCGGGGAGACCGGATACAGTGAACGCAGGGTCCGGGGAGACCGGATACAGTGAACGCAGGGTCCGGGGAGACCGGATACAGTGAACGCAGGGTCCGGGGAGACCGGATACAGTGAACGCAGGGTCCGGGGAGACCGGATACAGTGAACGCAGGGTCCGGGGAGACCGGATACAGTGAACGCAGGGTCCGGGGAGACCGGGACTACAGTGAACGCAGGGTCCGGGGGAGACCGGATACAGTGAACGCAGGGTCCGGGGAGACCGGATACAGTGAACGCAGGGTCCGGGGAGACCGGATTACAGTGAACGCAGGGTCCGGGGAGACTGGATACAGTGAACGCAGGGCCCGGGGTTTAGAACTGGACTATAGTGAACGCAGGGTCCAGGGTTTAGTAACACTTTATGTGGTACTTCCTAGTCCTCGGGATTGGTAGCCTTGATGGCAATCAGAAAATACCTGAATGTTTAACTGAGCCCCAACAGCTGAGGGCTGTGATCACAAAGTTGGTTTCCCCCTACTTTCCCATCACGGTTAAGCTGGCCATATACCAGTAGATTTTCTAATGAACGTTCGCATGAATATTGATAAGAACATTGGTGCAAAAGTTCTCAGTACATTTGATGATTTTCACCCTGCTCCTTCGAATTTCTTCACGGTGGTCCAAAACGAATGTCTCTTTGACCTCACTAACAGAAAAATTAAACAATTCTTAAAAAGGGAAAATTTTCAAAGAAAATCTACGACTGCCAATTGCAAGTCAGGTCTTTTCATCCACGATCAGTACCTGATCTCACAAATGAGCGCTAATTCCCACAGGCACACCCCAAAATCTTGCAGAAACCTTCTCAGAATAATGACATTCATAACCGCGAAGGAGGAGGGGGTAACTCCAAAAAGAACGCCCATTGTTTTGGAATGGGATGTCCAACAAGTTCCTATAGATGTTCTAGTCCGGTGTCCACCAACAATTGGCCAAGTAATGTAATTTTAGGTGTGAGGTAACAAGGGGACAAAAAAAAAAAAAAAAAAAAAAAAAAAATTTTCACACTCTCAGAACCCCCGAAGAGTGGCGAGTAACCGGTTAATGATCATACAGGAGAAAGTTCAATGTCTGGATCTTCTCCAGCACAGATGTTTCTTATCTTCAGCTCAGGTCTTCAAGGCCAAGAATGATACACAGCCAAGATACCATCCTGCAAACATCACAATCATGGAATTGGGAGTGGTGGTAGTGGGGGGGGGGGGGCTGTATTAATCTCAGTTGGCCCCTCCTAGAGCCTTCACTCTAGATAATACACCAGAAAGGACAGCACAAACATAGATAGTTCTTCCAAGATACCGCATGATACACCAAGCATCCGAAAAAAAATAAAATTCCTGTGTTTTCGGCCAAGTGTACATTACATTTGTGTTTTCACTGGAAAATAAATATAAAGTCCTAATTCAATCTAGTTTTTACATTTGTAATATTTGGTGTTGCCACACCTGAGACACTTAGCCATTTTTACGACGATGAACAAACATTCATGTTATCTATAAAAATGCCAAGTAGCTGACTGAGAGAAAATATTGTAAAGTTGCCAAGAGGTCTACTTCAAGTACTGCCCTAGATCTGCCTCTGTAGGGGCCCTGTTGTCTGGAGCCCTTTGCCGAGATGGACACGTCAACCCCTTAAGCCTCAGTTTTAGCACGGAGGTTTGTCTTTAGCAACAATACTAGTCCTGAATTGGCCATCAAGGTAAGCAAAGGCAGCCCCACAACCCCCATGGAGGAAAAAAAACATGGCCAGAGACTGAAAACAGACCGAGACTTTCCCCTTGGGAGGCATCTGAGAAATATGGCTACATGTATGCAAGCAAGGCTAAACTTAAGATGAGGACCCCCATGCTTTTTTCAAGGCAGTGAAGCCACTGTTGCCAGTGACCCCACTACAATAAATTAGTACAACTCTTCAGATGTTGGCCCCATTTGTGTGTAGGGCTCTCTAGTATACATAGTTTATTGTGTAGCTAGAGGCTTGCTAGAAGCCTGGGTGTGAGTGAGGGTTACATCAGGTCAAGCTGTAGGGCTCTACAGGTCAGTCCTCTGGTATCTCCCCCTGTTTTAGAAGCTTGAAGTGAGTAGGTGGAGGTGAAGAGGGGCTGATCTGCATATTTATGGGAGTCTGACTGATCTCAGACCGGAGGCCTGGCAGTGTGTCAGACCGGCCCAAAAATATGACTTAGCTTGGCCAGCAGGGGAGTCGGGTGAAGGATGGAGTACTGAGGAGTGTTGCTGTGTAGCCTGGATGGGGGCCTTGGAGAAGAAGGGGTGTGAGGCTGAAGGAGGGAGCTCCACTGCCTTGCAGTTCACCATGGAAGGACAGACGGCAAAGCTTAGAGAGGAACCAGGCCAGCGGAAGGCCTGAAAGCAGTTCTATCCACAGCTGCAGGACAAGGACATTGTACCTCTACACCCCTATGGCCTGTTAGGTAGAAGTCTGCTGGATGCAAGTTCTTGGCAAGTCTTCAGGGGACAGTTTATAGCTTACCCAATCCCTTGGCATGGGATCAGATACCGTAGCCAGGTGGGCTAGTGTGTTGTTCTCTAAGAGGATTCAGAGCTCCAGCAAGCTGAAACTTTGCTAAAGACTGTCTTGGTTCTGGCTGGAACACGGGGAAATATCTGCCATTTTTGTAGTAGTCTAGAGAAGGAAAATTGTCCATTTGTTATTCCTAAATCAAGTTGGGCATCCCATAACCCCTTTTCCCTATCCAAGTAAATTCCCTAATAAAAAAAACAAAAAAAAACAAACCCAAGGACTGTTTCTTGTGTCTGGAACAATGCGTTTTGCCTGGCTCTGCAGGGAATAAAAGGGGACCAAAAGCCAGCAACTCTCAGGAAGGTAGCAATACATGTGTACATACATCTGGGACTTCATATACAAGCAAAAGGGGCCCATGGAGACTGGCGTGGCTGCACTGGAGTATACAGCATATTGGCCATCACGTACTTTTTTAGTTAGTCTCAACAAGGACTGGTTCCCTTTAGCCATTGTGTGCTATGATCCTCCCCCAAATCCAATGCTCAAAATTCCAGCTTCTAGCAAATGT